AGAAGAAGAGACATATTCCCTTCCACAGCAAGAAAGGAACAGCTAGGAGAACCATAAAAAAAAAAAGATACCTCTCTTGATCAAGCTGATCATGACAGATTGGGAAGTAAAAAACAAACAAAAAGACAACAAAACCCATGTATTTTACACCATATTCTAGATTATTTCTAGAACAGAGACTTGTATTAATTTTTTATTCCAGGAATTTCTTATAATTTCTATTTTTATCTAGAAATAGAAATTGCAGAAAAGAATCACTCCTTCCAACATCAGGGATCTAAGGAGCAACACACAGAAACTCATACACAATGCATTCATCCCATTCTGAATTTTAATTTCTCATTTTAACCTGAGATTCTGTAAACACCTCTGGGACAGATCCTTTTGAACGCTTAATTCTTAGAGAAGAGAAGGTTATATTTTTGACTGATAACACAAGTTTAATGTGAAAATACCATTTGTCTGTGCCAGCTGCAGTGCATCTTTACTATCTTCTAGACTCCCACCTGTAATCAGAAACTTGAAAGAAGAAAAGTACTGTCAGTGTGTATGTTCTTGGAACATCAAACAGAATGTTTAAGAAAACACTCAGATACATGAAGAATCTTGACAGAGAACATCAGAAGACAATTACTAATATATATATAACAAGATTTCATAAATCAGCAACAAACCTCAATGGCCCTCAGGAGCTAGTAAATATACAAGGTATAAAAATCTGAGGTTTTTTCCTAAATCAAGTATCTTCTATGCTGAGCATTTAAACCATTAAACAAATAAAATACTTATATCTGCAGCAATATTACCTTCATTAGACAATGACCCAAGAAACTATACTTGCATTCAAGAAATGATACTCAGAAACATTCTGTCTTACAGGGGGGGAAAATAGAGACTCCCAAACACCCAGAACAAGACATGAGTAAGTAAGTAATTAAACCAAAAACCAAGTCTGTATCAGAGTTGGGATTGCAATTTTAAGAATCTCCAGCTCTGATCTTTTATTTTTACCTTAAGCTCAAAGTTATCACACCAGAATTGTGGCTCACAGTGCTTTTTTGAACCCCCACTTGCAGAATATTTCACCCTAGGTCCTAATAAATCATGACTACGTTGCTTTTGGACAACTCATATCCCTACACATGCTGTACACTAGACTCAGTGAGCACCAGGTCAGACATTCCTGCAGGATGCTCCATGACTGACAGACACATCCCAACAGTACCACCAGAGAAATGTTAAGCTGAAAATGACCCAGTGTATAAACAACACAGGGCAAAACTTCACAAAAAATTTACCACAAATCAGCAGCTTTATGGAAACATAAAAATATTTTACAATAAACAGATCAAGCTTCTAGGCAAGTAGGAACAATCTGCGATGGAACAGGCTTCTGACACTGTAAAGGCCAGTAGGACTGAAAACAGCTAAGGACAGGGAACTCCTGAATTCCACTTCTGAATTCACTGTGCCTCTTGAAAACCTTATGCAGCTAATCTATTTTTGATCCCAAAACAGGAAAACTGCCATTCCTTTTCAGAGAGTGGTATGAAGATTAAATAGCACTTACACAACACATACAAAAGTGACCTGGACTCTGTATTTGCTGCAGTGGGGTAACTTTTCTCCATCCCTGGAGTTTTCTTTTTTTTGTCTTCCAGTTCACTTCCTGCTCTTTTCAGACGAGAGTTTTTCAACAAACTCCCAAGAGGCTTGTTCCTCTTCTAGAGGAGTGTTTATTTCTTTATTTCTAATCCAGCAGCCCTATTAGTGCAGTAGTACAGTTTGTGACAGTATGCGTTGCCTTCTATGTTAATTCATATTTTTGTCAACAATTAGTTAGAGAGAGAGAGGGGCAGGCTGGACTATTGTAAATAAAAGAGTAACTGAAAACACCAATTTCAAGGTAAGAGTTACAAACCCTCTCACAATGATGCTGCTTTAATACACGTAAGCCAGTATTTACCAGCAGATGTTCATGTGTCTCAACTGTAAGAGTTTATGGGCACTTCCAGCTCTTCTGCAGTTACCAATTCCATTTACAAACAGAAATATCTGAAGGGTCTCAATCAGAAGAGTTTGTGAGTTTTGATCTGCAGCAGTAACTGTTGATTAAGAATCACAGAATCATTTAAGGCTGGAAAAGACCTCCAAGATCATCAAGTCCAACCTTTGTCCGATCACCACCTTGTCAACTAAACCACAGCACTAAACGCCACATACAGTCCTTTCCTGAACACCTCCAGGGATGGTGACTCAAATACTTCCCTGGGCAGCCTTTTACAATGTTTAACAAACCTTTCCATCAACAAATTCTTCCTCATGTCCAATGTTTAACAAACCTTTCCATCAACAAATTCTTCCTCATGTCCAACCTGAACTTCCCCTGCTGCAGCCTGAGGCCATTCCATCTTGTCTTGTCACTGGTTGCCTGAGAGAGGAGGCCAATTCCCCACTGTTTACAAGCTCCTTTCAGGCAGTTGTAGAGAGTGACAACGTTCCCCCCAAGCCTCCTCTTCTCCAGGCTAAACACCCCCAGCTCCCTCAGCTGCTCCTCATGGCTCTTCCTCTCTGAGTCACACAAGACACCAGAAGAAAGGAGTGCTTGCCTATAATACAACTAACATGGAAAACTGAGTGCAGTAGCTCAGAGGTGAACATCTTTCTGTTGAAACTGTACAAGTTCAATTCTACATACACATCACTTCAATACCATTGAACTTAAATAGCCAGCTAATGATCTGTGCAGAGGAAAGACAGTGCTCTGCACAGAACACTTTTGTTTGGTGCTACTGAAGGAAGTTACTGCATTTTCCATAACAAATCCAAGAAACATTTGTTTTAGTAGGAGAGCACCAAAAAAACAAACATTAGAAAACAGTGTAAAATATTAACACAATTTTATTATAAGAAATTACCTTTTTAACGCCAACTTTGACTGCTCGCTCTATCACATCCAGAAGGTCGTCTGCAAAAATTCATAAAAATGATGTAAGTTGAACTTAAGGTTTTACAACATAATTTAACTACTTTTCAACTTCTATGCAATCAGAATTCCTATCATTAAATCCTTAAAACATATTTGATTACTCTTTAGAAGACAATAACAAAACACAGTAACTGGAAATTCAGTTCAAATCCAAGAAATCAATGGAAGTTTTTCCACATGCTTTAGGAGACTCTGTTTTTACATCTATATCTAAAGGCCATGAGAGCAAAAAAACCCCACACTATAATTAGTAACTATGACTCAGCAATGCAATACTTAGACAGGCTATTGTTTATAATTGCCACATCAGTTTTTCCACGCAATCCTAACATAAATAGATCAGCAATTGTCCATTTTGGTCCAGAAGCAGAGTTACCTGCACCACAGCTTAACAGCAATTAAGAGAATGTATTTTGCTTAGGACATCTAACCTGTTTTGTCACACTTTCTTCTTCAAGCCTTAGTAAATAAGCATCCAATTCTTGAGGAGAAAAAAGAAACTCTAACCTCACATTCTGACATGTAAGAGGATTCTATTTTAGCAAGAGGATTCCAGTCTTTCAGCAGATACAAAGGAAACACTGACCTTCATGTTTCTGTGTTCCCCTGTAGATTCCTCTGAACATAGGATCTGTCAGGTTAATACCAATATCTGTGGAAAAACAAAGATAGAAATTAGAAGTTTTAGTGACTCTACATTTTACTCTGAGGATTAATCAACTAGAGAAGACAACAGAAACCATCTCTTGATGGCCCCTGACCAGCAGATTGACAGGCCACATAAAGCTTAAGCATAAGTTTACTTGCATAACTTGAGAACTTACTCCTTACAAGAAATGACAGAAAAATCTTTTGGCCTCCGTGCAACTCCAGACTTCTATGGGTGTATTGGGCACACCCTCACAATACCCAAAGCAAACACACACATATACTGTTCATTGCAAATAAATCTGAAAATACGGGTTTATGCAAACAAGCAGTAAGAAGGAAGGGAAAACGCAGCATCTCCCATACAACTTTCACATGGGTGGGGAGCAGGAGCTGCAGAATGCCTCCCAACAGCTACCTGTTCTCCCTCCTGCTGCCCTCCCAGGGCCATCCCTCCCGGCAGCACCGACAGGATACCGACAGGACACCTGCAATGCAGGTACTGCTGGAGCTGCCCCAGCCCATCCCAGCCCTCCTCACTCAGCTCCCGCGCCTTTCCCCGCGTTGCATCCTTGCAGCCAAGGACTAAAGCACCGGCTCCAGAACAGCCACCCCTGCAGCTGCCAGAGCCCGCACTGCCAGTGGCGGTTCCAGCGGGAAGGCAAATTTTCCAAGGAAATATTAGGCTGCCCAGCCACACGTAGAACTTCATTATGAGCTAAATATTTCAAGTTATTTATACGTTTCCTCCTGAATTTCCCAAGAATGTTAACATTTTCATCCGAGCCAGTTCCATTACAATCCGAAACAACCACGACTAATGCGCCAATGCGGGACAGGCGACGAGGGGCGGCCGAACCCCTACCAAATTCGGGGATAACCGAGGAACAGCAGCCCCAGTGCCCAGACACAGCACAAACCTTCCCAAACGCTCCCGGGGGGGGGCTCCAAGGCCGCCGCATCCCGGCCCGGGACACCAAGAGGGACCGCAGGAGGTGACAAGCCCTGGATGAAGGGCTGGGACCAGCCCTGGATGAGGGGCTGGGGCGGGAGGTGACGAACCCTAGATAGGGGGGCTGGGACGAGCCCTGGATGAGGGGTCTGGGGCGGGAGGTGACGAGCCCAGGATGAGGGGCTGGGACGAGCCCCTGGCACCGCGCATCCCGAGCCCTCTCCCGCTGCGCTCGGCCCCTCCCGGAGCGGGGCGGCGGCGGCTGCCTCAGCCCGGCACCGGGCGAGGAGCGGGGGGTCCTGGGTCGGGGACTCGGGGACAGGAACCCTCCCCCCGCCCCGCCGGCCCCTCACCGATGAACTTGGCGCGGCTCATGGCGGCCCGGGCGGCTCCAGCGGCAGCGCGGGCGGGGCCCCGCCGCCCTCCCGGCAGCCGCCGCGCGGAGGGGAAGGCGGTGCTGAGGGGCCGCCATGGCCGCGTACCTGACGCACCAGCAGAAGGTGCTGCGGCTGTACAAGAAATCCCTGCGGCACCTCGAGTCCTGGTGCATCTACCGGTGAGGGCGAGGGGCGAGGGGCGCGGGGAGGGAGGTCCGGCTGCCCGCCGAGCGGGGCCGCTCGGCTCTGCGCTTGGCTGGGCCCGGTGTGTGTGTGGGGGGGTGTTTTCCTCCTCACTGTGCGTGACCTCTGTCCGCAGGGACAAGTACCGCTACTTCGCCTGCCTCCTGAGGGAGCGCTTCGATAAGAACAAGGATGTGAAGGACATGGTGAAAGCCACCCAGCTGCTGAGGGCGGGCGAGGAGGAGTTCTGGGCCAACCAGCACCCGCAGCCCTACATCTTCCCCGACTCCCCCGGGGGCACTTCCTACGAGAGATACGAGTGCTACAAGGTGAGGGTGGCCTGGAACGTGTGAACTGCTGTGCTTGCTTTGCTCTTCTTTTAGCGAATATAACGTGAGCAGCCGTAGGGCCGCAGCTTGGCTCAGGTGGTTGTGTGGGAGGAGCTGTCCTGCTTTTCTGATCCTTGAAGGTGGAGTTTGCTGATCTGTCCGAACGCCGCTGGTTGCGTGTTGGTTTGGTTTGGTTGTTTTGTTTTGTTTTGTTTTGTTTTGTTTTGTTTTTCTGGTGGAATCTGCCCCGCAGTGGGTCAGGCAGGCACAGGGACAGGGCTGGAGCTGAGCTGGGGGAGGGAACAACGGGGAGGAGGCTGTGCTGCCGTCTGAGAACAGCCTTGGTCTCTCTCTGGTCTGCTCGGCTGTCACCTTGGCTGTGGGGGGACTTCCCTTCACTCAGTCCTGTCGTTCTTCCAGCGTTTTCAGTAACGCTACAAGTTAATGATTTCCCCTGATTTGCTGCAGTGTTTGTGCGCCACTGTGTGACAGGAGCTGTGCCTGAAAATAGAAGCCTTATTTTTAGGCTCTACAGCGCTTCTACAGGCTTTGACCATCTAGATTGTTCTGTTAAGGAGCAAAGACACAGGTTTCACAGAAAAACACAGGGCTTTTGCTTTCTTGGCATCGGCTTTTTAGTGCTTTAGAAGAAAACTAATAATAAATTTATTTTTTTTTAAAGAACTTGGGCTTTGGTGGGATTTTGGTGTTGTTTTTTCTTAATCAACGTTCCTGTCTTTAAAATGTAAACACTTAGTGATATCCTGCTGCAGAATTTTGAATTTTGCTTTTTTTTCGTTGTGTGAACACCTTTGAGGTCAGACCATTATCAAGATTTTAAAGGCCTAATAAAACTGCTTGTTTCCTAGTAGTTGTAGACAGGCAGAAATGAACTGTAATGTTCTGTCTTTGGCAAGTAAACTAAACCAGTAGTTGGAGAGAAGAATCTCTCTAAGCTCCTGCCTTTGAGAGAATTAAGGTAAGAAATGTGATCTCTTCCTGGAGAAGGAATTCTTTTGAGAACTTCAGAGTAAACTGCGATGACCTGGGATTTTTTTGGGGATGCTGTGATATCTTCCTGTGAGTCCTGACCTCTGCCATGTGCCTTGAGACTTATAGTAGTCAGGCAGCTCTTAAATGGTGTTTTTATGTAGTACTTCAAAATGGATAAAAACCCAGGAAGTAATAGTGGCTTCAGTGATTGCCTTTCCTTCTTCTGTATGTATGTACTAGATGTGATTCCATATACAAAAATTATATATATATATAAAAATACATTTTTCTCTAACAGATTCCTGAATGGTGCTTGGATTTCTGGCATCCTTCTGAGAAGGCAATGTATCCTGATTACTTTGCCAAACGAGAGCAATGGAAGAAGCTGCAGCAAGAGAGCTGGGAAAAAGAGGTCAGTGCTTGCTCTATGCAAAGTCAAGTCTCTTTAGCACACAAGTATTTTGTGAATGTGTTCTTGGAAAAATTATTGATTGCCTGCTGCTGTCTCAGTTAGGCTCTGCTGTACTGGAACCCATCAGTGTGAAACAGTGACTTGACCTAAAATACCTACAGAGAGATCTGAGAGCTTCTGAATGGCTGTGAGGGGAATTCAGAGTTAAAGCTGAACCTGCAGCTGTGTTTCAATTGGTGAGGGCTATTGTAGGAGTTTTGTGGAAAACAAAACAAAACCCCAGAAAACAAACAAACTCTGGAGTGGGATGAGAGGATATCAATGACCAGAGAATTCCTCTTCTGCTGCTGTGGAGCTTTGGCACTTTTTGTTTGCACACTGGAATGTGACTTGCCACAGTGGTCATCAGTTGGGAATCAAGACTAATTTCTGGCCGTACTAAACTGAGAGTCAGTTGGGAAAAGCTGATGTTTCTTAGAACAGTTCTTTGATTTAGTTGTAGAGAAACAGTTGGATTTTATGGAGTGTGGCACTCCAGAATTAACACAGGGGCAGCCAGCACTTGTGCTGCTTCAAGAAACGTGTGCTGAAAGCATGTGAGAGGCTGTTGGTGGCGTGCAGGAACACAGGTCTCCTATGGATTGCAGGGGAAGTTGTTCTGGACTTGTAACAATGTGGCAGCTTCCAAAGCAGCAGGAGAATTCAGCCTGTTTAGTGTAGCAATGGTAGACATGAGTTACGTGGACATAATGACCTTTTAAGTAAAATTTCTCTTGTAAATCACTTCCTTCTCCTAGAAATTCCTTCTTAATTAGGTAATACAAGCCTGCAGTGGAAGTGAGTGTTAGGAAACCTGAATCCTGTCTGTCAGCTGGAGGGTTTACCAGGTTCTTCCCTGCAGAAATGGGGAGCTGGTTTTGCTCACTGCCTGGGCACTGAGAGCCGTGTTAAGGGAATGTGTGTTAATGTGCTAAAGCAATTTTCTCCCTTTACAGATTAAGCAGCTGGAGGAGGAAACCCCAGCGGATGGTCCAAAAACCGAAGCTTTGCCTCCAGCTCGGAAGGAAGGGCACCTGCCCCCGCTGTGGTGGCAGTATGTGACACGGCCCCGCGAAATACCCATGTAAAGGCACGTCGGGTCTGTCTGCTGTAAGCAGTTCACATGTCAGTGACCATGTGCTTCTCTAAGTAATAAAGAATAAAACCAAATAAAAGTAACAGAGAAAGCATTTTTCCTGCACGTTGCTCTTCCCCAGCACACTCACACTGCTCCATGTGGGCCACGTACCTGAAACGTCACTGAACACAGGCCAGCCTGTGGAGAAATCCTGGCGGGGCACTGACACCAGAGCAAGTTCTCTTGCAGTTTTCAGAGTTAGAAAACTCAGCTAAGACTGAAACTCACGTTCCTAGAGAAGGAATGCAAGCGTAAAGGGATGGGAGAGGCAGATTTAGTGGGGGACTTGATCAAATGATAAACAACTAAACTGAGAATAACTGGGGCAAGAGACTGTCTCCCACTGTGGATAAGGTGGGAGGGAGGGGGGCCTGAGGAAAGTGGATGAAAATTAATAAACAGTTCATATCAGCTCCGTAACTTGGAATGTGGTAGTAAATACAGGCAAAGCTGGAGTTTCAGGATGGTGACAGCAGCAGATATGTGCTTTGGGTGCTCCCAGAATGAGGGTATTTCTGACCTTGATTTGGGATAAAGACACCTTGCCCTCCACATCTCTTTAGGCTCTTTGCTGCATTTTTCACTTGGGTGTTAAGTCTCACGAGACATAAACCTTCCTTACAGTGTTGTGCTTTCCTGCACGGATAACAGCACCGTGGAGCACCAGTAGCAAGCTGATCCCGCAGGATACTGAATCCCAGAAAAACACCAAGCTGTACCGGTTAACACACGTGGGCTGCTGAGGAATGTGGCTCTTGTGTGCTCATTCGTGGGCTTGCATGACAGTGAACTAGGGACAAAAACCTGTTTGCTTCTGGCTGCCTTCCCAAAGCATCCATACAAGACACAGGAAGTTTTGGTAACACTTCCACTTACCACCCTGTGAGGAACAGATGGGATACAGCCATGGAGTGAAAGCTCATAGGAAAACCTGGCTCTTCAGCTGTTTTCCCATTTTTAGGGGTAGAAGAGAGGAGATGTGGGTTGCTTAATCTGACACGGCCTTCTTTGAGCATCCACCTGCTCCACCGTGGGCTCCTCCAAGGGCTGCAGGTGGATCTCTGCTCCATCACGGACCTCCATGGGCCGCAGGGGCACAGCTGCCTCACCATGGGCTGCCCCACAGGCTCCAGGGGAATCTCTGCTGTGCTGCCTGGAGCACCTCCCCCTCCTTCCCCGCTGACCTGGGTGTCTGCAGGGATTTTTCTCTCACATGCCCTCTTCTCTCCAGCTGCTGTTGCTGTGACACAGCAACTTTTTCCCCTTCTGAAATCTGTTATCCCAGAGGCGTGACCACTGTCGCCGATGGGCTTGGCCTTGGCCAGCAGTGGGTCTGTCCTGGACCTGGACGGCATTGGCTCTGTTGGACACAGAGGAAGCTTCTGGAAGCTCCTCAGAGAAGCCAGCCCTGTAGACCCTGCTACCTAAACCTGGCCATGCAAACCCAACACAGTGACAAATGGAAACCTTTAGGCAAAAACGAACCCATCACAGTGGCACGGAAGTAAATTGGATCACTGTGTGGCAGCTGCAAGAGGGACCAGCGTGCTCCCCACTGCCTTTGTTGCTGGGAAAGGTTAATACAAAAGTGTCTTCTGTCACTTGGAGGCCTGTGGGAGATGGTGCTGGTGGTGTGTTTGATGAATTTGGGCTGTAGCACGGGCAGTGTTGACAGCAGCAATTTCCCTCCTCTGGCACAAGGAATTGATGTCCAGCACTGAAGCAGATGCACAAACATGCAGAGTTATCTGTGCTTCCTGGCCAGGTAAGAACAGTGAGGTGCAGAGAAATGTCATCAGTTTCTATTTCACTGGAATTTTCACTGTTTGTTAGCACTGCACTTCTGTTCTGCTACTGCCCTGCCAGTGCACATCAGTAAAACACAGCTATATGCAATTTATTTATTTTTTAATTCTCTATTGCTTCTATTACACACAGATGGAACCTGCGTGATCCTGAGAAGTCTGAGGAAGGGCACCATTGATATCCAATGGTCTGGAAGCAGAAAGTCTTCAAGAACCAAAATAAAGAAGTTTTTCAGCAGTTCTTTATTTATAATGTAGGCTTAAGCAATCATTACAATGTAGAAGGGAGACACACTTACAGCAATTATTTATACCAGTTTAGAACAAAAAACTGCACAGGGAGAGGTCAACTCTCAGTACAAACTAGCAACTAAACCACAATAATTTACCATTAGAAACATTTTATTTTTAGCTGTGACACTGCTTTTACAATATGCAAAAACACAAACAATAGAACTATCCAAAGTGTTTTGTCACATTCTTTCTACATTGAATTTGGCAACATTTTATATTAAATTTTACTGATTATACTAACGTTTAAGAACTAAACAAGTGAAAAGCTGTACTTGGGTACAGTTACATCCATTTATTTCAAAGGTTTAAATAACACTTTTAACTATTGAGATTATCTCCTAGCAGTTTTTGTTTATGCAAAAACCATCTCAAAGCCTCATTTGCACAATGCATCAGCTACTGTATCAAGATTGGTGGGCTACACCACAGGCACTACTGTTTATTATATTCTGTAATAAGGAGCTTGTTTTTCAAAGAAAGGAAGGTTTAATATTTTCTAAGAATCATGCTCTTTTTTTTTCTTTTTGCTTTTAAGCCATTAACAAAAAAAAAAGGTTAGCAAGCACAGCAGTGTAAAATGTCATATAGAACACAGTGACTACACAGTTACTAGAAGTTTCACATCCAATGCAGTTATGTATTAAAGCATAAGAGGTCATGTAGGCAAATCTAGAGCCAACAGAAATCTGCAGAGCATGTGGTGGAAACCAGCCCCTTTTTTTGTATTATTTGGTGTATTTTTAAACAATCCCGGATCCGCAAGTCTGGTGTCCATCCACATGTGGGTCTGCTGTAGGTGGGCAGACAGCATCCTTCTGGATTGTCTGATGGGAACGTGCCATGCCAAGGGGCCTGCATGTTTCTGTTGGCTTTAGGAGACGGGTATTGCAGCAATAACTTGCTTTTACTTTAAGGAAAAAATCCAACTCTTAATGATTCTATCAATAGCATTCCAAAAAACATGACTTGAAGTACAAAAAAAGAGAATATAGTGGTCAGACTCCCAGTATTATCAAAAAAACAGTATCTCTCCCCACCCCCCACCCCTCGCCCCTTTTCGATATTTAAGAAAAGCCAATCAACTGCCATTTAAAAGAAGTTAAGAAAAACAAGCCCCTGTATTGGAAAGAAACATTCGCTGTTTATTAGACCACAAGTTGGTTACCCCTGTCAATTTTTAAGTGTTTTCTCAAAATAGTTGGGCTTTCCAAGGTGCCCAGCCTGCTGGGCACAGTCAGAAAAAGGCATTTTGATAATATCTAAGAACTCCCTGCCTGCATTTTAAACGTGTTTTCACATTTGTAACTGCCTTAAGCCTGTTGTCCTTGTTTGTATTCAGCGGAAGGATGAGCAGAACGAAACGTGAAGGTGGAGGAACCAAGCCTACACAGTAAAGGCTGCATGCATGTGACTGAGAGTTGCTGCTGTGCAGTCAAAAAAGAAATGTGGAAAAACCCAGTCTTAAAACACCCTACAGAAACAAAACACTGCAATCCAATATGGCTTATTCTGATGCATTTACCATGAAGCTACTAGTAATCCATCCTACTAGGCTACTTTTGTGCAACAGCATCTGCTATTTTGATGGCATCTCCCTCCCCCCACTACCCCCCAATAACTCTACCAACTGCAGGTTTTTTTCTTGCATTATATATTGCTTTTATTGTCAATTTTTATTCTTCCTTGTCAAACTTTTTTTTTTTTAATACTTAAATGAAGATCCATTCCTTACAGCTTGACTTAAACTGTAGTAAGTCCCATTGTTTTGTTTTTTTAACCTCACTATTACAAGGAGCTCTACAAAAGCTTGCAAAAAAGCCAAATTTTCATTAAATCCCTTTGCTGAAGTTAACTACTTGACATTTTTTTTTTCTCCTATGATTTAAAACTTTACAAAGAGAGTTATAAAAAAGGTAAATGGGATTTGGCACCTTCAGAAAAAATTAAAAGTGTAACTTAGATCAAAAAAATGCAAGAAACAAAATCATTGATATTTACAAATTAAAACACCAGTGAAGATTATGCCTTACTATGCTCTTTTGTTTATTTTCTCTTTTAGAGTACTTTCAGACTGTCTGTTACCGAGTATCTTAAAAAAAAAATCACTGATTACAGATTGGAATGGATAGAGACAAACTGGTTTCCTCACAGTTCCTCCTCGGCGTCTGGTACTCTGGCAGTTTCCTCACTCCTAGGAAATACGAGGTGCTGAGCGATCGTTCGTGGTTGTCTTCTTCAGCTTGACGCCGCGCCGGATGGCGTTCAGCATATCCTCCCCCTGTGGGGCGTCCCCAGGGCTCAGCTCCCCGGGATCCAGCTCCGCCTGCCCCACGGGCGCCAGGGTGCCGACCCCATCCCGCTCGCTCTCCTCCCCCTCGCTCTCGGGAACCACCTGCCTCTGCTCCTCAGCAACGCTCAGTTTCTGGCCGGACGATGGAGGGTTGACGGACGCTTGCCCGCTCCACGAGGGCACGCTGGTCACACCTTGCCCACCTTCTCCTGCTGCCGGAGACTCCGGGCTTTGCTCGGGACACTCTTCCGTCCCAGCGAGGGCGCCAGGCAGTCCGCCCGGGATGTCGGGGACGGTCGGCGTTTTGACAGGGATCACGGGCGTCTTGATGGGAATGGGCCCTCCCCCGATGGTGCCGCGCCTGACGGAAGGCTTGGTGGAAGGGGTCCGCCGGATGGTGGCGACGCCGGGGGTGACGATGACCGGTCCCAGCGTGGTTGGCAGACCTGCGGTGGAAGCAGGACGCTTGGTTTGAAACATTCTGCGATAGGACTGGCTAATGTCACTGTTTCTTGGGATGGTGGAAGATTTGTCAAACTCTTGTTGTTCTGCCTCCTGGTCACCACTCACAGAGAAATAATCATAATCTGAAACTGATGCCAAAAGACAGAGTTAGGAACACGCTGGAGCAGAGAGCTGAGTCACGTCAGTAAAGCCTAAGTGTGTATATATAACCAAAAAAGCCGGGGGATCAATGAGAATTAAGAGTGGTTACACCTTTAGGAGGAAGAAAGCCTGAAGTTCCTGTGGCCAAGATCCACAGACTGTGTGACTGAAAGCACCACAGCAGAATGACCCTACAGCTGCAGGGTGCCCATGGCTCTTGTGAAAGAGAATGAGAACTGTATACACTCAGTCCCTTCTCCAAACTAATAAGGTAACGAAGACTCATTATTTGTTGCCAACATGAACACACCAAACCCAGCATCCTACAAGCCATATACCACCACTTGGAGATAGAAATACTTATAAAATGTACTTTCGATTAGGCAAGTGGGGCTCAGGGGACCGTGTACCCGTGATTTCAGCAGCAAATTTGCTTATTTTACGAAGAAAATCCCAGCTGTCAGCTCTGAAAACTCAGCCTCAGCTTTAATAATTGCATCAGGTTCCTTCCTTTTCACATAAATGCTGACCCAAGCTTGGTCCTCCACAAGCCCTGCTGCCTCCTGTGACTGCACAGCACAATCACTGCAGCTGAGCAAACAAGGAAGGTTTGAACTGCAAACACCAAACTCCTTCCCTCCCAGCTTGCTGCTGGTTCTGAAACAGGGTACAAAGCCCAACACCTTACTGCAGCCTCCCAGCTATGCTCAAATTACAGTCTCCAATGGATTCTTTTTCCAATTATAAAATTTCTGTTTGGGCGGGAAATAAAAGGTCACAAAGGGAAGCCAAGAGCAGATTCAGAGTGCTGATGGAACACGAAAGCGAATCTCGTGAGTGTGTATTTGCTGAGACAATAGCTCAGAAAGGACACTACTACCACAAGAAGTGTATGATGCAGTACCAGTGTCACTCCACTCATACTATGAAATACAATTTCAGGATCTTCTTTAAAATAGTGGCATCCTTAACCTGAAACTCATTTGAGTAATGCACAAGAAAATACAGCCAATCAGTACACTATGAAGCATTCCAGGTTTCTTGTAGTTAATAAATCCAGGCTGCCTTTCAAGCTGGAAAAAACTTCACAGCAGAATTTTTCAGCCTTTCTCCCCAGCTGATGACAAAGGCAGTAACAGCTGCCAGACTAGAGCTCCTTGGCACTATGGGGTGAGCGTATGATGGCCAGGTGGGAATGCTCTAAAACGGAACATCTCTTGGATGGGTACCTTGAGACGGGATCGTGTCCTCTGAACAGCACGGAGTTGTTGTCTGGGTGCTGTAGCCACTGGAGCACTGCAGGGAATCCCGACTGCTCCTCTGGGTGTCCAGCTGCAGCCCCCTTGACAGAGCCAGCGCCAGCTCCTCGCAGGCCTCCATCTCCTCACCCTGCTGCTTACACACGGAAAGACACTTGTTATGCCTGGAAGGGTCTGTCACCTTCACCCATGTTTAGCTGCCCCTCCTCCCCAGCAGAGCTTCTCACCATCACAACCCAACAGATTGTGCCCAACCATTTACCTGGGCTTAGAAACAGACACCTCTTTGGAGGACGCTGCCCTACAAAAGCCAACACCCAACCATGTATTCCCTCATGCCCCCAGGATTCCCACTGACCACACCAGCACCGCACCAGTAGCCCTTCCTGGGTGAACAAGTGCCAGCAGAAAGCACATCGAGAAAGCGCCGGCAGGAGCCAGCACATCCATTTCCCTTTCACCAAACACTGAATTTGAAATGAGAGCTTCACCCTTGTGGCAGCTGAGACCGTCATGCTCCGAGGCCTCTGGGCCTCCTCGGGGGTCCCAGGGGCTCCGCTCTGAGCTCCTCCGTTGAGGTCTGGTTCTCTTTGCTTCTCTTTGCGACGCTGCAATGTGTTCACCATGGGCTGGTCGTACGGGCCTGGCTTGGCCCAGTCCTAAGGAAACGCACTCATTAGGGAACAGCTTCCACCAGTAACTGTGCTTCAGTCTCACGCAAAACTATGCAAAAGGACAATCTTAGTGCACCAGATCATGTACCAAACTGGATATGCCTTTCTGAATCACGTGAGGAATAAATTAATTTTAAGGATATTAAAAATCCTCATTTATAAAACCTATTTCCTTTATTAAAGGGAATCTATATTTCCTATTCTAGCTAAATGTTCTTGTATGAAAATATTCAACATTTTGATACTACAGTCTAAATCTAAAGGGAATTCCATTGTGGTAAAGCCTATATTTTCAGAATTTCAAGTACAAAAATCACTTGCACATAGCAGAAAATACACATGCATGTCCAATCACTGATGTAACTGCTCTAGATGTACACAAATTCTAGTATTACGTGCTGTTATGCACGTCTTCAGTTCTGAAAAATTAGGCTTGAACAGATTTTTGATACACATTAGAGGAACAAGTTACTCTGAGTAATCTCTCAGTTTATTTACTAGCTGAAATCAAGTTTGTAATGATGATCTGTACCAAGGAAAGGCTAACTTCACTCTGAACTACTGGTGCTAAATTTGAAACAGAAATTCCTCAGCAAAGACAGTATTCACTCAGGGCTCCATTAAGCAAAGTCCTGAGGGTGTCCAGAACCCACACGTGGCACACAAAGAGCAGGACTGATCCCTGTCTTGTGCTGGGAGGCAGAACCACTGCTAAGCAGTAGCTCCCCAAACACCAGCTGCCACAAGGGCAATCCCAATCCTAACAGAGTTTACTGAGACAGGGGCTGCTTTAAAAATAAAAGAAACAACTTTTTCATGAGAATGGGCCCCACACCCCCCCAGCTGCCTGCTGGGCAGCTTCCCACAGCCTTCCAATTAATTCACAATTAACGATGGGCCAAGACCACACTGCGGATTTTTACTGACGTGTCTCAGTCCAAGGTATGAGAAGTGCACGGCAGCTGAACTGACAGACCCCCTTGTACAGATAGGTATTTTGGTTTTATTAACACATATGAAACTCTGCTTTACCTTAACTACTGTGTCTCTGCTCTAAGTGTTTTGCTATCAAATATACTGGCAGAGAGCTTCTAGCACAGGCACAACTAATGACTCTGAAACCCCAGGACCACTGTGGCCACCCTGTGTGTATCTCATCAGTCTCCAGCTGTTGGAGAGAGAGATTAGGGGGATTTGTAACAAGATATCTCAATTTAGATGCATAAGCAGGTCCTCTGGTGTATATGCAGTATTACACAGGCACTTAAATCCTGCATAGCTACTGTCAACTGCACATCAGCCTTGTGAGGATTCAGGGCAACAGACGAGACACCTTCTTGCTCTGGGGCAGAGTCTCCCAGCTGAATCACCTGGCAGGGATGAAAGTCAAGGCTCTGGTAGAACAGAGATGTTTTAGTGCCAAGGAAGATCCATGCAGATCCAGCTGGAGCAATCAAAAGAAGTTACTGCACTCTTTTTCAAAAGAGCAAAATGAGCTGGGTGAGCACTTCCAGTCTGTGACAGTAAAGCTGGGACAACTTTGGTCACCACTCGGGTTTACCTGGTGCCAAGCACCTTCTTAAACCACTCCAGGTGGATCTCGGAGTGTGCCTGCCCATGGCCAAGGTGGGGGCCCAGTCCAGCCACCACAGGGAGAACACTGGTGTCTTCAATGTGGCTTCACTAAAGTAAGCCAAATGGATGCAGAGCCTGCCCTTCCCTGCTCAAGTGAGCACTCTGACAGTGCTAAACAAGCTTTTCTCGCTGAATAGAGCCCAGACGACTTTCAGCAACGTTCCAGAGTTAAACTATTCCTTCCTACCTAGGTGTTGTCAGCTTTAATATGCTTTACTCAGTGCCAGAACAGACAAGATCATTGAGAAATACCCCCTACTGGAATTTAGCTCTCCAATTTTCCCCATGCAGTGCCCATTCAGAGTGATATCAAACAGAGCAAATCAACCAGTAATTACATGGACCGAAAGGTAGCAACAACTGCCGTGTGCATGCTTTTGGTATGAGGAGGTGAGGACTGCCACAACAAAAGGAACACAAACCTTCCAGCTAGGGATCTTAGATGATGGAAACATGCCTGGCCCAATGGTGTAATAATGAGCGTAGTCTGGAAGGAGGGCTGAGGGAGCCCGAGTCCACGCGCGGGAGACAGGCGGGAAATGAGGGAAAGGACCTGCACCAACTGAAGCTACGGATGGGTCACTTGATAAACTACAGTGATAAAACCCATTAGACAACTGGAAACAAAACAAATAAAAAAAAAACAAAAACAGAGAAATTAATATAAACAGAATGAATACGAAAATACACTGTGACTCTGATGTTGTAGGGAGAAAATTTCTGTATCTTAAAACAAAAGAAAGAAAACTCTTAACTCTGCTGCAAATAAAAAACAGAAAATTGACACAATGCTTTGTTCAGAAGTGAGATTGCTTGAAAATTGTTATCTGGCATAACAAATTTCAGGCACCAACCTAGTGGTCATTGTCTCCCGGCTGAGCAGCTTTGCCTTCTGTCCATAAAAGTAGCACACTGTGAAAAAGCCTTTGCAATTTAGGAACCCTGCAGACTGAGGACATAGAACAAAACTTTTCCAATCCTGGAGGTATTTGCATTGCTGGCATTTAGTCTATGTAGCTGGACAGAGAGGAAAAGCATACAGCCTTCTAACATGGCATGTTCTGACTGTGTGATGATATGGAAGAAAAAAGAACAAAAACCAACAGCAAGGATTTACCAGATGAGAATGGAGACTGCTCTCACTTCCTCTCCCAATTCAGAATGTATCCCAACTTATTAATTCCAACAATGTGTGTTTTGTTTTCCCTTTTGGTCAAAACCCAATCCCAAATAGTGTAATGTGTGCTACCTAATGGGAGAGAGGGGAGAAGCCACAAACAGCACAAACTGGGCAAGAAGCTCTTTGTCAGGCAACCAGCTGTGTTTGGGCAGTGTTCCAGAATCTCTTTGAGTAGAAAAGGTGGGCAATGAGCTTTTCTTGGAAAACTGCCTCTGTAAAATGCTCAATTTGTAGCTTCTCCTATAAGCTAGTTTAAAGTCAAGTGTGGTCTATTCGAACGGATTAATTCCTAAAGGAGAGTGCAACAGTTCCTATTCTCATCTTCACAAAGAGGAATCCTGGCTGCATCCCATGCATCGTTTTTTTGTCCAGTGTTGCAGAGTTTGGATAACGAGCTAGTAGGTTTGTATGTCTCGGAGATGAAGTTTTTCACCTTATCTGTGGAGGCCCAAGCCCCCATGGTGGAGCCTGAGCTGACTGAGGTGGGGGAACTGCACTCGCTCACTGACTGGCAGGTTTCAGAGGCTTCTGAAGAGGCAGAGCTGGACGAATTCTGCAGCGTAAAACAGCACCGCAACGCAGGGAAAGGAGACACAAGCCACCAGAAAAGGAAAAAAAAAATCACAAACAGAAAGAAAAAGACGAAAAGCACATACACAGAGACACACAGGAGAGAGGGAGGGATGAGAGAAGCAAAGGGTTAGGGTTTTAAAAATTATTAGAAACTGCTCAAAATCATTGCTAATGTTCAGGAAATCTATGAGAAACAAAATAAGCCACTTGCTTAATGCGAGAACTTGCCACACGGCTTAGGAATGAGGAAATTGAGGCAGTGATCTCAACTCCTCATTGCAATTTCAGCGTCTCAATTCTGTTAGCTGTCTCAGAGCAAGAAGATGAGGGAGCTGAGGGCACCTGTGGTCCAAACATGCAATATACTGAGACAACTGATTTATACAGGAAAGCAGATCATCAGTACTTCAAAGGCACAAAGTTTAGATTTAAAACATGGACTAGCAAACATCACTTACATTCACAAGTTCTTGGATATTCTGATCTGCAAAAGTGCTTGTGAAAAGCTCATCCGAGTTCAAATATTATGGAACAGAGAAAGAAGTAATACTTACCAGACTGGAGGTTTCCAAAGTGCATGACCTGTATGCATGTGCCTCTGCAGGTAGGATGCATACACCAAATGCACTCTCACTCAAACCTTCCTGCCCAGCAGCCAGTGTGAAGGGACATGTGCTCTGCTGTGTGCACAAGTGGTGGCATGTGCTTGCCACCTGCTTTCTCCTAACAGCAGAGCCAGAAAATACCAGGGGCTTGGATGGAGAGTGAAGGAAAATGCAGGACATGAAGTGCCCATTGAAAATATCAAACATTTTGCTCCTAGGTAGGAACTTCTCCTCCAATCTTCAGCGCATGCCTTTATGCACACTTGCTGCTTATGACCTCTACAACCCCATCTAATTCCACCACAGGCAGGCCAAGGGGAATAACCATGTGGACAACTTTGCCTACTACAGTGCTCTTCTACAGCTCCCCCTTGAAAGCAGCATCCTGCTCCGTAAGGGTGTGTATCCAGGTCCAACCGAGTGCTTGGAAACAATCAGGAATACTGGAAGAATTGTCAGGGCAGTACAGAGCTCTATTCACTGTCAGGAAATTCAACACTACCAAGACTAATTCACCCTTTAGTAGCCCAGGACCCAGGAAACAAGTCTATCTAAGGATGTCCTGGCTGTTCTATGACAGCAGAGAGAATGTGCTCCTGTATCAGGTTCGTGTAGTAAAGCCACAGATGCTGAAGAGGAAGGGAAATCTCATTTGAAATAAAATTTCATCAGTTAACCTCAGGTGAGATCTGGGGTGAGTCTGCAATAAAAATACAGCTGGATAAGAGGCACTGCAGAGGACACAAGTTGTCTCATCGCTCACCAGAAGCTACATATGAGGAATGTACAGCCAATTGCCTGGGTAAAAAGAGATTTAGGTCTCTGAGATAGAATACTGTCACCAGAAGGATTTTGGTGAAGACTAGTAGGGCTGCTGAGAAGTCAACACAGTATCAGCATCTTGAACTTACTAGCAAACTGTGATTTTAGTGAAATTTCGAGAAGGCTGTTTAAAATTTTTTAAAAAGCGTGTAGTGTGATGGACCATTTTATAAAAATCACACATCCCATCCTACGCTGACATGAGATCAGATCTGCGGGTGGTCTGTCAAAACTGTGTAGTGTACAAGCATGCTCAGCTAACAAGGTTTGTATTCAAGGTGCAGTAAGAGCTGAGGTGAAGGTAAGATCAGAAGAAACTGCAACAGATGACTATTAAGGAGAGCAGTGAAGAGTAAGAGTGTGCAGTGGGGCACCTGATGATGCTGTGGCTTCATGTTTTGCGGAACTTGTCACATTCCTTGATGCAATGCAACTCCTTTCACAGGAGAAAAGCCTCTAAAATAAGAATACCAGCAAACACGAGCAGCAGTTGACTCTGCCATCAGACATAACCACGGTGCACTAAATGGAGATGAGCCTATTGCTTCTATCCTTAGAGAAAAATACATTATAGAAAATTAGCTTTTACACTAAAACTCCAGACTTCTGCCTGACGTTCCAGGTACCTCAGAAAAGAAACTCCATGAGAATACTCACATTGATGTTGTGGTTTGGCCAGGAAAAAAGTGAAGAGAGAAAAATATAATTACAGAAAATCCTTTTTTAATAGCCTGAATGACCCTCCTGGGTCTGCATACTCTGCACATGGCAGGACAGACAGTGAAGAGTCTGAGTGACAAGCATGGTATCCCTCATGCCACGTTGTTTTCCGCAGGTGCCCCAACGGGGACAAGGAAGAATTTGAAATTTGCACCTGGTAAGACTATTTGTGTTTACAAGACTGAAATTTCACAAGGTTATTTCAAGTAATGGTAGAAATGGCCCATACATGAGGTTTATTAGCAACAAAAATGCATGTAGCAAACAGGTAGGAAAAGGTCAAAAATGCAAATTCTCGAGATGCAAAGAATTGTTTGATTTACTTGGTGTACAGGGGAAAAAGACTAGAACTGATGAACTTATTTTTGCAATAAAGTGAGTACTTCAAGGAAAAAAAAAAAAAAAAAGACAAAGGACTCTCCTACTAACTCAGGGTGTCCATTTTCAGCAGGAAAATCTAGACAAAGGCTGAACCAAGATGCCATGAGGAAAACAGCCTGGTAGACAAAGGAAATGCAAGATGTGATGGTACGGAACGAGGGTCTCCTCACCTTCAGAAACTTGCATGGCACAGAGAAGCGGAGCCTCTGGCCTTGCTAAATGGGATTACAACAGTGAGAAAACAGTGGAGAGGGAGGCAGAAGAATACTGAATTCCTGAAGGAAAAGTGTAAGGAAAACGTGACTGGCAGCAGGTTAAAGGCTCTCTGGATCAACTGCAGAGCCACTCCTGAATGGCTGGATGCAGATGTGGGAAGCACAGACCACCCTTCCTTTCTTAGCAGAAAGTACACGAGAGACTGAAAACAGAAACTACAGTTGCTGCTTGGGCAAAAAGTCCCCAAACAAGTGCTTGTTTCAGATGCAAACCCTCTGGCACATGCACTCCTAAGGAGCACATGCACAGGCAAACACTGGGCAGAGCCATTTCTACTCCACACCCTGTGGTGTGAGAAATTTGACTATCAGAGTTTTTTTGAACTTGTTTTAGTAATTATTTTTTTTAAAATGATTGTTTTGTGTGAATCACTTTTAAAATCAGTTCTTTAATTTTAGCTATTTTAACCCTGGGAGATTTTTTCTTTTGCCCACAGCTGCAATAATGGTGATTCTGCTCTTCTGAGAAAAAGCCTGAAGTTAAGAGTACCAGCAGAAAGCTAAAACTGTGCTCTGCACAGTGACATGCAGTGTAGTCTGGTGTCTGGTCTCTCAGACGTTGTGCCATGGCTTGCTCTTGGATTGTGTCCTGCTGCTTGGTGGGGTGTATATGAGTTCCAGCAAGGATATGAAAAAAAAAAAAAAAAAAGCTGTGTTTTGGGCTGCTGGACTGTACAATTATATTTTCCATCTGCTGTCCTACTAACCTATAAAAGGACTATGGTTATCTTGTATTACTTGCATCCTTTCATATCTTTCTTAAACCCTTTCCTATCCCAATTATGAGACAGAGCTTCCTGGATAAGAGTTTTCCAGGAGACCAAATCCCAACGATGAGTTTCATACGATGTCCTCTACAGTCAGTGGAAAATAGTCTAAGCTACTTTTCAAAAGGCTCTGGGTAGTGACTCAAGGTCACCCCCTCTATTTGTCTCACTTCCAGGAACCTGTCTCTACTGACCCTTCTTTCTAGTCAGGAATAAACTGCTGGGAAAAGTAACTTAGAAAAGGAAGTTTAGGAGAAACAAATACGTGGTGAAAACTTACAGATGAGTTTCAGTTTGGAGTTGTTTTTTGGTTTTGGAGTTTTTTTGTTTGTTTTGGTGGGTTTTTTGGGGGATTTTTTCTGATTGTTGTTTGGTTTTTTAAAATATTACTTGGGAGCATTTCTTAATTTAAATGGAAAACTGCATAGTTGTAAAACTGTACTTCCCCTATTCTAACTTTAAGCTATTTCAAGCAATGGAATCTCCTCAAGAGCAGACTCTTTCCAGCTTGATAACCTGTACATGCAAAAGCAAGTTCACATTCAGTTTACTTCAGTGTTTAGGGAAAGCAATTTCTAGTGTGTTCTCACAATAAAGACTTATCACTCTGCTGTTTGACAGTACATCAACATTTTTATCTTCTTATCTGGTTCTTTCTCTCCCTTTGCTTTCATCCCCACAAAGTCTAAGCAACCTATGAGATCCAACTGCATGCTTCCCCCATGCATGTTCACTCCAAATCCAACGGATCCTTCTATAATCACCCCCCCTGAATCAAACAGAACTATACTACTACCATATTATTTCACCACAGATACTCCCAAGACCTCAGTTTGTCTACTACATAGGACAATGTGTGGGTTTAGCAGCACCGGCCATGTCCAGTGTTCACCCAAGAGCAACTCTTGGTGTGCTGTTCCCAGCAGCAGGTCTGTCAGAAAGGCTTTGTTTGGGGTCAGTACGTGCCATGGGCAACAGTGGCCATGGCTGATCTCACATATGGCATTTAGAGAAACTGTTCCACTCCAGAAAGAGACCTGTGATGCTTTTCCATCACAGCATATGCTGAGCTACACCCAAACGTACTTGTGTGATTACAATTAAAGCCTTCCCACACGTACAGCCATGTGCTACAGGCTAACACTTCTGCTGCCAGGGATATTAAGAGCAATGCTGCAAAAAAGTGATACTCCTAAACCAGTGAAAGGGCAGAGTCTGGTTTGATAATTGTTCTTTTTCCTATCTTCTACGTAGAATGTGATAACTGCAAACACTTACTACTCAGCAACTACAGGCTGGAAAGCAGTCTTCATTTTGTCAGTCATCTCTCCTCTGGTATAGTCTGTATCTTGTTTAAATCTCTAGTTACTCCTTGTTTGAGATTCCCACCAACCTACCACCCCCCATTTATGATTTTGAGGAAATTCAGTTTAATTTTCAGTGACACTTGCTTGTTTAAAATGTAGGCCAGCACATAAAAGCTTCTCATAGCTCATATATTCCCAGTCCTACAATATGGGAATTTTATGCAGTCCCTTCTCCTTCTTTTTTCTTACTACAGAAAGAAAAAGGGCTTTGTTGATCCATCAGATGCCACAGCACGTAGCTAGCAAACATCAGCAAGTGTCCACCTGCGCAAGATATACGGCTTTTAATTTCCTTTGTTGGTTCCAGAGATTGCTTTTCTGCCTTCTCAGTGTCACTACTAAAAACAATGACATCAGTGTTTCAGGAACAGCAGCAGCTGCCGCTCCTCCCCACCCACCACGGAGCCTCCAAGCACAACCACACGGAGAGCTGTCAGTTGGTTAGAGACACACAACACAGGAGAACGCTGTGAACTGAACAGCTCCTCGGTAAGCTCACAGTCACAATTATCTGTCAGCACAACACACACGATTTACTCAGTGCTGAACATTCAAAGCAGGACACTGAAGCAAAGATGAAGCGGCCAGGCAATGATCTGTTACCTTTTCCTCTGCGTAAAGGTATACAGAGCCAGAGACATATAGAGCACATACCTATTTGTTATACCAACACACTACATTTGTCACACTGCTGCAGCCTTCTACAGCTCATGAATAGCTCAAGTGATGCTTGGATCAGTTTGCAACTTTATGGAGAGTTTCTAAAATGAAGTGAAAGCATATGAACTTAGATGGTGTAAATCAGTGTGACTCCCATCAGCTTTCAGGATGTTCTGCCACCTGATACCAGCCTAAGTTCTCTCCTCTGCCTAACAGGGGAATTTGCAAAGAGAGATGTTGGGGTTTTTTCCATGCTAAGAGCAATTGCAAAGTTACATCCTCATCTGCAAACACAGCATCATCATGTGGATTACGGCCCTTTTACGCAGGTGCAGCGGATACAATGAAAACCAAAGATGATGCTGGCATGTGTAGCTGATATTATGTATCTCAAAAGTTAACTACCTTACCTTATTACTATTTCAGTTTACTTTATTATTGCTCATTTACTTTTTTGCATTTCACTTAGGTTAGCCATAGCCAATCTAAACAAAACATTCATTTTATTAGTGTGCACAAAGTTCTTCAGGATGTCATCTATAAAAAAAAAGCTCATGTGTCCAGACTGGGGACAGTGCAGAAGAGGTATCATTTGAAAATGATCATCATCATTAAAATGAAAGAGGTAAATATAATTAAAAATGGTTGAGTTTCCCTTGAGAATGTGTTCCAAGCCTAAATGAACCAGTTTTATTTTGGATGATACCTTAAAATTTCATTAGGGGTGCCACTCACTAAATGTCCTGCAAAAGTAAGGGGCTGTGTGCTATCAAAGGTGATCTAGGAGTACTCTACATGGGCAGGTGACACTTGGTGACCAATAACACTTGCTGCTTGCTGACTGTGAGGATTAAAACTCCCCAACCATGCCTACAGAACTATCCACTCCCCAACATACGAAAAGGAGTGCAACTACATTTCCTAAAGTAAAAGACAATCTTCTCCAGTGACCTCAGGGTGTATTAAAATGAGTAATACTGAACAACAGGATATTTGGTCCGTTTTGGTTTGTAGCCAAAATTTGTGATGGGATTTATAATGTGAGATGGCAATTCAGCTTTGTTTAAAAAATATTGCAGCTGCTGTGTGGTTTGTTAAAAAACCCAAACAAAACAGCAGAAAATTCAGGTGCTGGGAGATACGGGCCTTGGAGCATTGCAAACCTCTGCCTGCAGATGGCCAGCTAGTTTTTACAGCAATGATGCCAGGAAGAAATAGAGCAGCAACTTCCTTCTGCAGACCCAAAAATGCTCTGGAAAAGTTTTGCCTATATTGGTAGTGAAATCCTCTTAGTTTTACTGTGTTCAGGACATTACCATATATGACTACACAAACACTCATTTCTTATGAGTTCCATAAAGAACTATTAAAAATATCTCTGGTTTTCATGCAGAAACTTTACTTCTGCAAGGTGCTCAACTGAGAACCCAAAAGAGCAAGCATCTCCACAGAAATGGATGCCATAAAAAATGGCAAAGCCAGTTCTGTATGATAATGCTGACAGCATTTTGAGTATCCCAGACCCTTTGCAGGGGAGGAATAAAAGAGGTCTCTCTGACGTCGAAGCCACCATTATCAGTACTGTGGCTGTCAAAAGGCTGTTCTGGCATCAATATTTGCCCATTAAACAGTAAACAGCCACCAGATATCAGATATTATCAACTTGCAATCTGTGCAGGATATTAACTGCTAAGATCAGTGGGTAAAAGTGAGTATTATCCTCTCCTGTAAGGTGAGACTTATTGTTCTTTCTCTTCTGTATGTATCTGAAAAATAGGCACCTAGGCTCCCTCCAGGGCCATCAGGAAAACTAAATCCCCCAAGAGTGATTCATCCCTTTCTTCAGTGCTAACTGCAAAAGCAGCACAAATCACTCAAGCTGGAGGCCCAACTTTTAGCTGGATGAAGTGTAGTGAGACAAACCTTAGCCTCACTGTTTAAACTGCCTCCAAGATACCCCAAAACCACACCAGATTCTTTTTGTGAAAGGTGAGCCAATTTACAGAGTCCGGCTCACACTCAGGTTTTTGTTCTCATGCTTGCACGTACCTGGTTAGGTGCTTCTGGTGGCATGGGGGATGGCGATTTGGACTGGAAAGCATCCTGGGACATGAATCCAGAATCATGGGAGGACACACTGGACAGCCTCATGGGTGCCTGCTGAGGCAGATTGGAGCTGCGATAGCGATAGTGTGAACTAGGTGAGTGCGAGTGCGAGCCACTGGACCGGGAATCACTACTGTTAACGCTGTTCAGACTGCTGTGAGAGACAAAAGGAACAGAGAAAGGAAAGGGGAGAGGAAAAGACACAAGGGTGGGGTGGGGAGAGACCCATATGCAGTACAATTAACATTCCACACGTCTCTAGCAACAGGCAGCATAAACCGGAAAAGAAAAATACTGACAAATTAAATATATATATATATGCACATATATATCAGTAAAGAACTGTAAGCAACTGCAGTATCCCTGGTGACCAGAGAGAAAATGGCATTTACCATGAATTTCACTCAAATGACCAAATCTGTAACCACCCAGAGTTCAAAGTCAGGTTAGGGATGGAGGGATCGCTACATGCCCTCCCTAGCATTTGCACAGCACTTGCTCGGGAAGTCTCTGCTGATTGCTCTCTCCTATTCCTGACTTAGACCTTACTGCCTTTGCACCATGGCCCAAATATGCACTGGGATTTCTAGCAGGGTGACCAAAGGCACTGCAGTTCGTGTAAGAGGCTGTCTCTAGGCTTGTCGCTGCAGAAAGTCAGCCGGACAATGTGTGAGACTTTTGAAACCATCACCAAACCCCCCACACTCCAGAATAGCTGGGACAAGCTTTGCTCACATAAAGGCTTCCTACCAGCAAAAAACATGTGACGGCATATTGAGTGAAGCCAAGCCACTGGGTATGGAGCTTTAGTTAGCAAGAAAGATGGTCAGAGAATTAAAACCCCAAATTAACATGTGTGTTAAAAAAACCAGTGTGATGTTTCAAACAAAGAGTTTGATTTTTACTCCTCAGTATCCATGAATGACAGTAAGGACATGCCAGCTGCAGTGTGGGAGCCTGTGAAACTTCCTGTTGGGGTGGCTGAGCAGGACTAGCAGGATGCACCTGTAGGCAGCTTCCTACCCCCACTGGCAGGAGCCTGGCTGAAGGAATGGCTCCCTAGGATATGTGGGTGAGGCCTGCACCTCCTGTTCACAAATGCCACGTACACAGAGGATGTACCAATCAGCTTGGAGCAGAGAAAGAGGAGCTCTGCTGAATTTTACCCCCAAACATTAGCCTATGCCATAGAGGTTTTACTGCTCAAGAAGATGAGGTTCATTAGCAACAGATGATGAATTTTTTTAATTTTGTTGTTGTTGTTGTTGCCATTTTCTTTTATAGCTTCAGGATATTGCATCTTTAAGCCTGTGCTCATTGCTCTAAATATGCATGTTTTCACATATATATATATAAAAGTACTGACTTTTTTTATATATATCTGCATGCAGAGACAAGTAGGTACATAGAAGTGGTGTTCACTTGCTCTGACATGCTGTAGGTAACTTTGCTCATACACAGAGAACCTGTAGTACATTATTCATAAAGCAAACTGAAAGGTAATCATTTGAGAGCAGCTAGAGAGGTGTTGAGCAGAATACACAACAGGATAACTTCCTTTTTAGTAAAAGGAAAGAGTAAATGTGGACACCAGGTATGGGGGCAACATGCTAATAAACTGTTTTATGAGAGAAAACAGTTTTTACAGAGAAAGCATAGACAGAATCCAGTGTTTCAACATATTTCAGGACAGCATTAGACAGCATTAAACAGTAAAAAAAACTTATCAAAAAAGCATTTCCATGTACCAGACTCATAGGGCAATTGCCAAGGATGTTTTCCCTTTTCAAACAGCTTAACTTACTGATTAGTAACAGCTACTTAGAATAATCTACAAAGTCATCACATGAAAAACAGAAAAGGAAATTATGAATGAACAATCTCAGAGCTTAGATCAGTACAGTCTGCTCTTTGATCCAAAACAGATTCAAGAGAACTGAACCAAAAGCATCTTCAGGTTGTCTTGAGTTCAAAAGTTGTTCAGTCATGCCCATCCTTTTTAATATTCCCAGCACACATTTAAATGAGTAACGACCACAAGGGACTGATTTCAGTAAGACTTGTTATTTAAGATTTAAGAATGTATACAAATCCATATCACAGTCTGAACTTGCCTCCCGTTGCCCACAAACAGGTTAAAAATATATATTGCCAATCCACTTACCTGCAAACACTAGATTTTCTGGACATGGTAGTACTGGGAGAGGATGGAGGAGTCTGGTAAGACCAGCTGTAATCAGAACCTTTCAAATCTAATATTACCTGATGAAAGATAATCAATAGCATCAAGGATGTGGAAAAATTTCCCCCCTATTAATAGAAAACATCTGCTTGTCATACAACATTTGTCACCACTACAAACTTGCAGTGCCAACTGACTCAGTCTCAGACTCCTTCCAGAATTACACTGTGTACATAACACAGGAGAGTCAGCTTCATCCTTGGCTTTCCAGGAACTAACATCCTTCAACACTAGGGCTGCTATTACAGAAGGAAAGTTCAGATTTGAATGGAAAAATCTTAAAAAGTAAACTGGAGATTTTTTGTATGCATTCTGGAAGCTGTTTTGTTTGGGTTGTTTTTTGTGGTTTTGGGTTTTTTTGTTTGTTTGTTTGTTTTGTTTTGTTTGTTTGGGTTTTTTTTACTTAAAAAAACACTATTACAGCCTTAAGAGTCGAAGAACTGTTGCATTTTAAAAAATTAACTGAAGATCCCACACTCAACCACAGCAGAGCTTTACACTTCTGGGTCAATGATATGACAAGAAAACTGAGTTCACACAGCAAGGCTGGAGAAAAACATCCTATTTGGATTTATTTAATGACACACATTTTTCTATGCATTTTAAGGACCGCATGGAAAAATGTTCAAATGTTAGACTCCACCAAGCTATGCAATCCCAGCAACCTTGCAACTACGCAAAGTCAGGGATGCTCAAATGTAGGGTGTGGACATGACACTCATTCCTCATACACTCTCAGCAGAAATCTGGCATCTTCATATACTTCCAAGTGTTACTGCTATCACTTCACTCTGGTATCACCAAATACTTCAAGGGGTACTAAGCTGGTACTTTCAAAATAATTTTTTCTAAAATTGCTTATGTTAAAAATGACCTTGCTGCAGCGAAGCATCTACAAAATGCAACATTAAGGCGCTAAAACCTAGTTAATATTCCTCCTAGCACAAAAGGAGAACTGGTGCAAGCTACAAACAAAAATGTTTTCCAGGCAACAAGAGCTGACCTGTTCACTTGAGGATGGCAATTTGTGTGGATCCATGGTAAGACTTTTCAGGTCATCTGATATGGTCTGTAAATGGGTTATTTCTCCTAGCATTGATATTTCTTCTTCCTGAAAAGACAAAAGAACAAGGCTAACTACAGCCTTGGTTTTAAAAATCAGACCCATAACACACCACCTTTTTCCTTTTGCTGATGACTGTGGGGATGCCCAGTGGAGCTGACTCCTCTTTGCCCATTAAGCAGTAACTTCTTATGAAAGGAGCTTGAAAATATCAGTGTTTTGTAACTACTTAAGATTGCTGTAAGTTCTGAGGCCCAGAAATCTTTTCTCTCATCTGCAAGATAAATAAGTCTCAGCCTTCTTTTAGTGATATGTTCAGAAAAAGAGAGTCAGTTTTGCTGCATTTGACAAATTTTAACTCTTCTACGTATAGGCACTAATGTGCCCTCAAGATTTTAACCCTGAATGTAAATAGGGGTTAAACTCATATCCCTTCCTAGTTTTTGAAATTTAGAGATAAAGGCACTATACAGGTACACAGCACTAATACACCTATGATTCCTTCTGGCTCAAATTACATCAACAACTAACTCAGATTATTCCTGCACTGTAAACTATCATAGTAATCTCTTAGCTACCATTTCCTCCAGGTCCTCCAGAGTCTGGAATTCACCTCCTACTGCTCAGCCATCAGCTTCCTACTTCTCTAACTACAGTTTTCTGTTGAGAGTGGTGCTCTTTGTAAACGAGCACGGGGAACATTTTCCCAGTACGCTGGTGACCCTTCAGAAATGCATCATGCTTGCACAAAGCCAGGAATGATTCCTTGTCGGGCTTCAGACAACCTGAGATGATGAAAAAATACTGAAACCTTTTCAATGAACTGAAAACCTGTCATGTAGCAGAACAAGAGCTATCAGAAAACTGCACGGAAGCAGCCTGCAATCTGTCAGATAATGTCATTATATGAACAGGGGACGTCTTGAAACATTTATCAGTCCTAGCACTGGAGTAGGAGTGAGGAAGATTTATATTCAAATGTGATGTTAAGAAGAAAAGCAGTGGAAAAAACTGCATTTGCAATGTCTCAGGTTGAAATGCACAGGGACCACAAACCGACTTTAGTCTTTGTGCCCAATGTTTACCCATCAGTCATCTGGAAAGTATTCAGTGTCTTCTGTCACTGAATTACTACAAGCGCCTACAAGAAAGGTCCCAACTTTCACCACTTGCTTGAAAGAGATGAAGCTTGATTTTGGCTCTAGAAATTAATTCCCAAGACATAACAAGATAACGCTTTTTAAAGGTTTTTGGCCACTTATCTAATCTATGAATTGTACTGACTTAAAACGAAGAGCTCTTACTATCACAGGGCGCAGCATCGAGATGAAAGCACAGAATCGGCCGCGCTCCTCGATCAGAGCCTTTCTGACAGCTTGCTTCTCCGTTTCTTCAAGCAGCAGGTACTTATCATTGACATCTTGTAAAGCACTATCCAACTGGGGCTGAATGTCACCCCGTCCTGTAGGAAGGAAACAATCAAGAGTACATTTTGTCAAAGCTGTGGATCTCCACAGACGACCTTATTTTCAGCCAGCACTGTTGCCAGATTGTGCTTTCGCAATTAATGTCTCAACCAGCATTTTCTCTTAATTCAAAGTAGTAAGGACTTTCTTCCCCAATTAAGTCAAGCATTTCAAAGCATTTATTTTTTCCCCTTTTGCAGAGAATAGAAATCCAGCTCAATTCGAAAGATTTCAACAAGCCAAAGACAGCATTTGACATAAAGACTTTCTCAAAGCATTACTGTAGCAACTCTTCTAATCATCCTTGCTGAAAACCAACTTCTTACTAACTGTGAGAGCATGAATCGCTAATCCCAGGTAAACTCCTCTTCCTATTTTTGTGCTTAACAAGGTCCTAATGACAACTTTGTGGGGCCACTAAATGAATGAATCCATCTCTTATATAAGATACTATTAAGACATATTACTGATCATTGGACCACTGGACTCAAGTACTCTGCACGAGCAACTGCTGGAAGTTTTCTTCATTCCAGAGTTCAAACAAAACCAAACCTATCAACATAGGTTATTAACATATATATTAAATATCCAATATTTGTCAATGGAAATAATAAAATTCCAACGTTTTGCAAACAAAAAGCTTCACCGTGTTAATTACAGTCAACTCATAATATCAAAACTTTCTGTGACAGGTAAATACCTTATTCTGCACCAACTTCTTACTCTGCATCATGTCAAAAAATATTCCACTAGGAACAAAGAGCTGCTGCTTAGACATATTATTACTGAACCAATAATGTTTCAGTTGCAAGGTATTTTCATGCAGCTTACACCCCTAAATATTTCGAAGAACTTTAGCTGTATAAATTTGTTGCAAATCTCCCAGAAATGCCATCACATGCAATTTAAGGATCCAGGTATATATCCATACCACTGTTGCTAAATACCAGGAAGATAACATTGAAAAAATGGTGGGTGAGTTACAAGCAGCTACCCAAAATCAATTTTTATGGACAATAACCCTTCTTGCATGGAGAATTTAAAGCTACGAGCAAGAGGAAGAAGAATGTCTCTTGACTTGTGTACTACCCAATGCAGATGACTTAATGCCAAGGTTACAAAGGAAAACCTTTGCCTTATTATCATATGTATTTCCTTAATACTCCAGAGCAAGGCAAAGCCATCAGCTCCCCTGCACTGATGCACAGCCAGAGTTGCAGGAAAAGAGAGCAGCAATGGAAACAAAGGGAATCACGCTGGCTTAGTGGCATTACAGGCTGGATATATCCAAATCTCTTCTGTACAGAGTTAGACACAGTCCACATAAAACTGCACAGACACCCATAGGCAGAGCTCTGCCATGGATCCTGGAAGAATCACATGCAGTGCAACATGGACATGGCCACTGCCAAGGCCACCTGGGTACCAGACTGCCAACAGGAATCAGCGCCTGATCCTGCAGATCAGGCTGGCTGCTGTAACGTGGTCATGAAACTGTTTTGGAAGTAAATAACCTTAGGAATAACAGACCCTGAAGGTGCAAGTCACCTGCTTTCTCTATCAAAATTAACATCTCCCAGAAACAAGTTATAAGAGAGCTTTGGGTAACTCCCTGAAAGTCCTGTGTCTTCCTGTCTGTCACTCTCAGGAGACATATTGGGCCTTCCTGCTTGAAGACCATTCTGTACATTTCAAGTCCCTCCCCATACTCTCCCTTGCTATCAGATGCAGCAGTTAAACATTTTATACTTCTCTGGAGTTGTTATTTCAAATTCCTTATGAAACAGAGACTTGCATCATTGCTAAGACCCCTTTTGAGTGCTGCCTGGAAATTACAACAGGTGAAACCATCTCCTGTTCAAACCTAGATTCTGGCTCACTACGATGGATGCACCAAATGCAAAACACATCAGTTGCAAACTAAATCAAACACTCATTAGTTCAGCTCTGGAGAGCTGCTGGAAACGTTCAGCTGCTTCACCATATGATCATGCACATAACACAGTAAATACTTGTTAAATGCATTCACCTGTGCAGTGAGAATACACACACTTAGAAAGCAACTGGACTCCATTGATAAAGTAGGTTCAATTACAGCGAATTTTGGTAACTTATGTGGACCTCACAGAGCACCATGTCTTCAACTAGAGCAAAAAGAGCACCCAAAAACTGGGGCAACAATAAACTCAATTGGCACCTGTGTAACTCACTCAATTCAACAAAGTTATCAGGATAACATCCAAGATGGCATTTTAACACTTCAGCAAGGGCACATGTAAAACTGCACCCCTCTCCAACATCCTCTGTACCTCTACAAAATTTCCACTTCTTTCAGTGAGTCAGTACATTAACAGATGCATCACTTCCTCACTGCTACTTCTGCAGACCCGCTTTAATGCTCTGGGGCACTTGGGTAGTCAGTGAAAACACAGAAGCTGTCCGGGGTGTAATTCAGAGCAGGAAACAAGCTTAGGTGAATCATTGAGATGAGGCTCTGAAGTCAGATGTTTACATGGCATGAATGCAGCGCTCTCCTGATGACTCTTGTAACTCATCTTTTAGGAGCAGGAAAGCTTTATCAACATCCTTTGAAAGCTCCACAAAGCAGACATCAATCTAACAAGTCTTTTGAAAGCAAGCATAGCTCTTCACATTCCCTGAGTTGCCAGCTGCCTCCCATGGCACTCAGACAGCTCATAAATTTGAGGGATGAGATCTCTGCCCAATTAAACCAGTTTCCTTAGCTAAGCAGAGCAGAGCCAATCCCCTTGACAGCACTCCCACCCCCAGAGGACACTGAAAGTGTGAGGGCAAACTGCTCATCACCTCTGCTCCTTACCCACCTTTGGGTCTCCACTGCTCTGAATCTGCTATTTATCTCAGAAGGGAATACTGACCACAGGAGAGCAATGCAGTTCTTTTCCCCTTTGAATTATGAGAGGAAGGCCACTTGTCCACGGCATCTCAGACAACTGATTGCAGTATTTTTGCTATGGACATGAGGCACATTTTCATAAAGAACATCAGCAAACGATTATTTTTTCCAGCCCACATTCTCTGGCCTTTAGGTTATGCATTCGGAAACATTTCCAAACCAACACAACCATAGTAATGATATCAGATAGTTCCAGAACTCATCACGGAGCAGCTGTAAAAGTGCACCTGGAAGGACATTCCTACTCCAGCTGCAGGCAGGTGTGAGTGACCTACCACATCAATCTGCAACAGCAGTGGCCAAAAGCATTAAAAGCAGTCACAGGTTTCTGGGCTGCAACCAGCCAGACATGAACAGGGTGTAGGGATGGTTCTGCAGAGCATGTCCAGCTGCACTCAGGACTTGAAAACTGAGGAGGAATTCAAATCCAGCCTTTCTCAAAGCGGAGCTCTGGTGATGCAGAGAGGAGCAGAAATGCAAGGCCAGTCGTTGTGGACTGAATTCTCCAAAAGCCTGGGGACCTGCAGCTGTAACTGCAGGCAAGTAACAGCTTATCAAGTGCAAGGAGCTCAACTGCTTCCCATCAAAAGTAACATGAATCTGCTGCTGCTTCAAGGACAGTCTTAATATGTTACCTTCAGAGCAGGTGCTCCACATCATTACCATGACATGCAAGAGCTTTAAAGGACTAACATGCATTAAAACTTCTATTTTACAGTGTTCTGTGTGAATCGTGGCTGAAAAGCCTCATGCAATTTCTTAAAAAAACGCTGTTTAAAAGCAACTTCAGTAAAGGGAAAGTATTAGGGAGCAGAAAAAGGCAAATCTCATTTTCAACTCAATTTCGTGTCTGTATTTTATAAGACAAACTAGCAAAGCTCTCAGCAACACCAAAGCAGAACAATGATCTTTAAATGCTCTCAGTGCAAGTCAGACTTCTAAAGTTAATGCTGTTACTGACAAAGTAATGCAGCAAATATTGGTGAAACTATTATTTTCCATGTTCTCACTTAAAGACTGCTCCCTTGCACTATTTTAAGTGTCTGCACAGAACTTGAATATTCAATGTTGGACATTTATAGAGTAGCAGAATTTACACTCTATAAGATAATGTTGAGTACACCACTGCTTGTACAAACCAAAGCAAGATCCAAGTCATTCATTCCCAAACCACCTTCTTTACAAGAGTACACCTGCTCCAGCTGCCAGGATGAACAACCCCTCAAAATTCTGTACAGTAAAGACAACAAATCAACTAATATGGATCTGGGCTGAGAATGGAAGAATTCTGCCACTGTTTATAGAAAGGTGGAAAATCTTATAGCTGGTCTTCAGACTCCTTCAGAAACAAAATTCGAGTCTTTCTGTTGGCTACTGGAGATCTGAATCAGCTGCTAATGTTCAAAAGCGCAAAGTCTTCCTTTAACAGAAAAGTTCCAAGTTACTAAATGAAGTTTTGAGACTGAATTACAAACCAGGAAAACCACAATATGTGGTTCCAAAAAAAGGGGACAAGCAGCAGATCCAGGAGCCCAGCTGAGGCACCTTGGTTGAAAAGCCATCTAATCAATCCAGTCAATCCGGGGGCCAATCTAATCAATCCAGGCTTCTCCAAAGGGAACACCTACATCACTACACCTGCAAGTGCAGGTATGGTTACTTCTCTCAAATTCAGAATCACGGCGCTTCGTTCATAAGGAGATCTCAAGGCAGCTACTTTAAATTTGCAATACAACTGAAACAGAACCCCAATTCAAACATATTTGAGGTGTGATCAGGCAACAGGAGAGGAGACAATCGTGATGCTGAATTCCAACCCCTTCCCCAGCATGAAGTAAATATAGTGATTTCTTATCCATCAGGTAAGAAAGATGCATGCGATTTTCAGAAAAAAGGGAATTTGGATCACAGGTTACAAGGACCAACACTAAGGACTTTAAGCTCTAGACTTTAAAAGTCATATTAACAATAAGATACTCAATTATTTGAACATCACCTTGATGACATCTATTCCATTTAACTTCTCTCCCAACTGTGACATGATTTATCTGTCCATGTTGATCCTTTTCTAAAATAAACCAGAGGTTTATCTACAATACTGATTTTCTTCTTTTACCAGTGTTCCAATTAGAAACCAAAAGAAAATAAATTAAAAGATGCTTTGTTCATTAAGATTAGGCAAATTTTAGTTTCATTAGAAATTAAAGTCTAGGCAGTTAGTGGAGACCAGACACCATAAAGAGGCCACAGCAAGGGCTACAATAAACCAGCCACCAGGGTTACAGCATGGCACAGACTTACCCAGAGCCTCAGCTGTCAGGCAGGTGCGCATGGTGAGAAATTGCAGGACACAAAATTGACACAGAAAGGAAAATAAAAAAAGTCAAACTGGTATTACAGCATTCCTAGAATTTAGACATTATCATCAGCGCCAAGACAAAAGAGTGAGCAGTCTGGACTAGGCTATTTTGACTTCTTCCATTGCTGATAAAGACAAATGCATTAGCTTTGCTTCCCGATGAGCTGTTGCAAGTTAAAACTCCTGGTTATTTACCATACATAGTTTTACTTTAAGAGATTTAAACCAGTTTAGACTTCTCAGTGAGAACACATTAACCTGCGCTGCAGAGAAAGTGCACAACACGGATAAACGTCGGATTCTGGTCAGGCTGATGAAGTGGCAAAAAGCTCATCCCCCTCACAGGGAAGAGGGAACTCAAACTTGCAGAACTCTGGGCAGGTGCTGAGTGAGTAACCACAGTGCTTTTTGATGTTCTCCACTGCAATTACATTAACAGATTGTTAATTAAATTAAAAGCTAATTGCTGATGCAATGTGGAAGAACATCAAAAAGATTAAGCATGATATGTGTATTTTAATTAAAAAACTTTTTATTATATGAAGTTTTGCAATAAACCTGGCTTGCTGTCAAAAAGAGGGGAACTATCAGGAGGCATTCAAAACTCAAGGAATGAAAGTAAATCAAAGGAATGTCTTCAGTCACTGATTTAGCGACATGCCTTCACTGCGTTTTTGTGAAGCAGAACTTCCATTATAAGCTTGCAGGGGGAAAAAAAACAACAACAAAACACCAAAAAGCCCTGCAGGCACCATGGCCTCATTCACACAGGACTTTTTCCCTGCAACGGATAAGGATAATTTGCTCATTAGCTTCCCTCCTCCTGAGCTGCATCATATTGACTCCACAGTGAGTCCTGGCTCTCACTTCCCTCGTCATGCCACGCTTGATCAATTTAGAGGAATGAGGTTATCTCCTGGAGGAGGAAGGGTCTGGCCAGGGGTTCCCCCTCCCCAGTCTGCCACTCCAGATGGGGTAAATGCCAAGTACAAAGAGTGCAAAGTACTTGAATGAGAAGGTCAGCATTTGCTTTAAGAACTGAGACATTTTTTCAGTTATAATTGTGTTGAAGAGCTTTATGTTTTTCACTTAAGAGTCACAGGGTTTGCACAACCGTCCTTGAGAGCTGTACAGCAACATTACAAAGACCAGAGTGTAACCCAAAAACAGCTGCAAAGGCCCTAAAACACAAACAGGTCATCTTTACTAACAAGGAGAAGGAAGAAAAAGCCCTTTTAGTAGTATTACAGTAAATTAATAATCATGTTCTACTCTCTCAATTTCATTAGAATCACAAAACACTTTCCAAGACCAGTGCATAGTCAAAAGGAGAGGCTGTCAGTTTGGATACCCAATATTGATGGGACACAAGAAGAAATGCTGTACTCAGTGTTAAGGCAATTCTGCAGAAACTTCTACAAATGGCTAAGAGATAAAACTCAGTTTGTATATTAACATGTGTTATGTTATTGGGAGAGTTTAGTATAACTTCTCATGTATCCACTTGGACATTTTCCTCAAAGCTCACACACAGTGTCACATGAAGAACCTGAAAATGAAACCTACCAGTCATGTTATAGGCAGAAGGGAAACCTGTCCAGTTAATCATTAATAGCCAAGCTGAAATACAGAAAATAAAGCCAACATGCACTCCAGATTTTACATATACATTCAGATATATTTTAATTTCGTCAGTTGATCCTTTTTTTTGTTAAACTAAGAATCATGCATTTTGTTAACCTTCCCAAATGGTTACATGCAGAGCCACAGCTGCTATCTCTCTTCTGAATTCAATACAGCATCAACAGCTTCTGGTAGCTATGGATCCACTTATGAGGCCCTGACTCAGCAGAAACCTAAACATGGAATTTATTTTAAATATATACATAATTATTCTGCTGACTCAGGTTAGCTGGGCTGACTTCTGATGGCCAATGTTTGTCTGAAAACAAAGAGCAATTTAGAAGATGTATGCAGTTCCATGCACTACACAGTTTCGTCTGTTCAGACAAGAGCTAAGTTTCAACACTGTGATGGGCAAGAAGCCCTACGGGCCTGTTCCTCGTGGGAACAGAGGCTGTAAGGAGAAGGAGGCACCTTGAAGATCATTATGACACCCTCAGGGACTGCATGGATCTGGTTGGTACATGAGGATCCTATTAAGACTACATAGATTTAGCTTCATATGGGCCTTTTTTTTTTTTTTTTTTTTTTTTAATAGTAAGACAACAAAAAGAATGTAAATTATCTCTGTGGAGTCTTTTGAAATTCAAGACCTTAATTTACACAAAGACATGTCACTTTACTAGATACACTCTAGCAAACTTCTGAAAAGGACCCCGAACATCCTTTTGTTTTGTTTGGAAAGCTTGGTGTTTTCTCCATCGCTTCAAGCTTTGGAAACACCTTTACTGCAATTAACACACTTACTCAGAAAACATAATTTCTAATAAATGATCTTAAGTGTCCAGCCTGAACTTTCAACTTGGCCGCATGGAACCAGAACAAACAGACCACGCACAAGCCGGGGCACAGGCAGATCCCCCCGTGTATTTGGCCCCTCGGTGGGGTGTCCAACCTGCAGTGCTCCTGCCAGGACAAGCCACGCAGCCCAGGGCCCTCTCTCCCAAATGTCCTAGGGATGCAGACAAGGAACGAGGAGCTGCTGTGCATGCTGCAGCCATCACCTACGAGAGAGAGCCTCTGCAGCTCGACGCAACAGGGCGAGAGGACACCCCCGCCGTGATGCGAATGAGGAAAAGTAGAGGGTTATATTTGAGTTCCTACATCTGAAGCTGCCCAAAGCAGAAGAAAACCACTTTCTCATCCAGTCACAGCAGAATAAGCTTGGAGGATCTTTTCAGTAGCATGCACAGTATTGAAGCAAATCCAGAATTCAGCAAACATCTCACTTGCCCACAGATGATTGCAAGGGTTAATTCAAAGATACTCTTACAAGCGCTAGGAAGGGAATGAATTGGTGGTTTTAGAGTTCCCATAGGTGAGTCAGTAACTTTACAGAAAAATCAAAGGGACAGGTCCTGCTTGAGGAAGAACAGAACAAAAAAAGTAAATCTGAGCAACAGGGAAACAGGAGAGCTGAAGACACAGTAAGACATTCATGCACTCTGCCACATGCCTGCCAGGAGAGTTTCACCCATGGTTCCCTGTCCATAGTTCAAACCTCATTTTTGACCTAAAGCAGAATCACTTCTGCACTTCTGTTATAAATAAATAACCCCCTTTTTGATTATTTTTATCCCTCAGTAACAGCAAAAGCAACATAATTCATCACACAGGACACTGAACAGAGCTGTCAAGATGGATATACACAAAAACATTTTCATGATGATATCTGACATTGCATTCAGACCAACATTCTATTTCCTCAAGGTAGGGATGAAAAAAACAAAGAGGGGAAAAAAATCTGCTACTTCTTTTTTTCTTCTGTATTTAAGCGCTGTAGATAACTTGCAAGAAGGCAGGGAGAACCTCCTTGGACCTTCTGCCCACTTGTGTTGGGAACCCTCAGGGCCAACAGCTCTGGGCATTCCTACTCTCACCCATATGAGCCTCAAGGCCTCCCTGCATCTCTCCTACTCAGGGGTCATGAGAACAACGCTCAGCTACTCAAAAATATTGCAGCTCCTGCTTTTCCCTGTACTGGCTACCTGTGAGTCTTCAGCTCTTCCACCCTCCCCATACACGTCCCTCTGTGAGCAGCTTTAACCCCACCTGGCTCCTATTGGGTTTGTGCTCTGGACCCAAATACCATGTGTGGGACAGTAGTTCCATGGAGGACAGCACAGAAATACAGCACCTTCACTACAACTCCAAAAGTATGTCAAAACAGCAAAATATAGCAAGGGAATGAACAGTGGGTTGGGGTTTTTCCTAGCAGCTTTTAGGTTCTCCTTTCTCTGCTTCACGCTTTACTGAAATTACAACTCCTTCTTCAATATTGTAGATTTACTCAATACCCAGAAGCAGGATAAAGGGGAGCTGGAGCCAGACAGCTGTCAATCCATAGAGACAGGCTCAAAAAAATGGCTCCTTCTTCACAGATCCCAATCACCCAAACCATTCTGTGCTTCAATATTTTTCTCAGTGCTCACCCACCATGCATTGACGGGTTGTTTGTATCACACGTGGACAAGAAGACATGAGACTAGAAAAGGAGGGGAAGACAGGAACAAAAACTAAGGGAGTATCACACACTCTCTACAGATGTTGGTCGGAAGTCAGACAATTCATCACCGAAAATGAGAAACATGTTTACACATCGCCCAAAACCAAAACCTTATCTCAAAAAGTCATGTTCCTCTAACGATCACCATTCTGATTTTAAACACTAAACTTCTGACAGACAGACACACAAAGCCTACTGAGCTAAGCTCCCTCTTGCTGGCTTCCACCTCTCCTTTCCTCATCTCTCATCTAACGTCAGCTAAAATTCAAGAGAAGTTTTCCAGTCATGTGGCTTTCTACCAGTGTAATTAACTGACTCACCTATTAGGAAGGACAGTCAGAGACAGCTCACCTGTTCTGGACAACACTTTTACAATTTCAAAATTTCAAGAAACTCCCCACCCCAGCATTTATTTTGCTTGTCCGTGGGTTCACAGTTTTTAGGCAGGAGGGGAAGGACAAGTTGCAACCTGCAGGCTGAGAGCTGCTCAAAGCACACTTCCAACCCTGCTGCTTCCGACCCAGTGCGGAAAAGGGAACCAGGAGGTCTGCTCCAAAGCCTGGTGAGGTTTGCACTCAGCCAAGTACAAGCTTTAGTGATGGCAATGCTGCAGCTACCACTGATGCATGTTTCCATTAAAATGACAGTGAAACTCCTGTGACAAGATGGTGGTGGGAGAGCAACCGAGCACAAGATTCAGGTACTAAAAAAGACAGATTGGCTTTGGGGAGAATTCCCTTTGTTTTCTCACTCATCTTTAGTTTCCTATGGTTGCCAAGTGCCCTCCCCCGATAACAACCTGTGCCACCTTCTCACACTCTAGAGGAATAATGTAAGATTGTTAACAGACTGTTAAAATAAAAAGAAAAAAGAAGAAAGGTGGTAGAAAGGAAGAACAGTGAGAAAAGTTAATAGTTAGAGAACATTTACATAATGGGGTTTTTTTATATCATTCCAAAAGATTCTAGAAAATTTTACAGGTATCTGCACAAGTCATGTTTGAATGTCAATGTTCCTAAGAAGAATAAGTCAGCAGCAAGGGTTCTATTTTGAAACATGACTGACTTTGTACAAACAGTTTTAAGGCTTTTGTATAAGAACATTAGATGGCAGCTCCAGAATATGATTTAAATGACACATAGTAATTCTATCCTGGTGTTCAAGTACATATCAGGAATACACTAGAGGGGACTGCATTATTACAACAGAAAGTCCTACTGCTGTTCAGTCTGTCAATGAGCACAGCCCAGAAGGCTTTTTAACAGTATAGTATGGAGCAAGTTACCTTTCTTTGCTTTCTTCTGTAGCTTCAGTGTGTCAGACGATTTCTTTTTTATCTCTTGGCGGGCTTTTTTGTATTCTAAAAAACACACAGAGTCTCTATTATCAACATACTCAGTGTCAAAACGAATGTTTTTCACAGAAAAGGTTATGTTTGAAGACATTAGACTACCAACTTTTAGAGGACAGCTAGTATTAATCAAAGCAGCTTAGAATTCACATATTGTAGTGCCCATACATTTAGCTTAATATAACATTTTAGGGTGTGAGCACATTCACATACCAAAATCTTTTCCAAATAAAACAAAGCCTTTACAGAAATAACAACTGAGAACACAGTACAAAATTAGAGTGCTTTTTACTTCAGACTCATCCACTCTCAAGAATGGAAAACAGAGATGACAGGTTTCTTGAAACATCTGTGTTCAAAAACAAGCATCCAGAAATGGCAAGGCAGAGAATATCCTGTGATCCCTCTCCAGCATGAGAGTCAGGCAGAGGGAGAGGGTGCTAAAACTTTGCCCAAGGAAGGGTCACATTGCTAGCTCTTTCTGATGAAGTGGAACACACTGCAGTTGTCCTCATTTTCAGATGAGCTGCAAATCCTGGGAGAATTAAAATCCCAGAACAAAATATTCAACCTCTAGTGCAGGGACACTAAAGGTACCAGATATGAAAGCCAATACTTTAAAAAAAAATTAAAAAAATAACAAAAAAAAGGCATGTATGCATGTATGTACATATACACATACACTTTAACAAAGGAGTCAATGTTACTACTCTTCTAATAGATGGAAAAACAGAAGCAGGCTGGTGGCAGGCACAAGAACTGTACCGAGGCCAACTGCACTCCCAACACCCAAGTCTGCCCACTAAACCCTAAAATCTCACTGCCACTTTGGCCAGGGTCACCCCCACCTGCAGGAACCCAGGTGATTCCTCCCTACCTGCTTAACACTCTGCAGCACAAGGCAGGGATTTAATCAAGGGCTTCTGATTCAACTGCTTCTATGTGATCACAGTAACAGTGGAGCAAGAAGCAAATCCTCTCTTGGAGGCCATGCCCACTCCTTCCCATCAGTTCTCACCCTCTCCAAAATAAACTGTGGTGTTCTTACTTCTTTCAGATATAGCCAAAGTCTTCAATTTTCAAGTGGCGAACTGGAACCTGCTTTCAGCACCTGTGCTAGAGGGCCACCATCCCCAGTATAAGTTTTGCAAAGCCAAAGGCATCTACCTATGCACTTGCTATGGAGGCAAGACTGCTGCCTCCTGCTCATTCCCCCAGGAAAGCCTCTGGAGCCATCATCAGCACTGCAGCTCTGGGCAACCCATGTCCAGGACACAGCTCTCCCACTCCCCAGGTGCAACACTGCTGCGTGGCATCAGGTATAAAATAACGATGCTCAGTGTTTTACAGGGCTGTGCGTTCTCTGGAGGACGTTGTGTCTGAGGTGTAACATGATCTTACAATTTGCTTTTAATGACACCCCGGGGCTTTGTAGGGAAGGATGTGGCATCTCCAGTCCTCAGCACTATCGGAGAACACACAGGGAGAGCAGGCTAACAGAGTTACAACTAGTAATGGCTTATCAGTCAAGGAAACAACCCACCCCTTGGGGTCCTGCAAACTAAACCTGCAAAATGCATAGCAAGGGTTAAAATTTTGTTAGGCATTTTGGGAGAGGAGTGTTTTAGAAGCGAGAAATTGCTATACATATTTAAGCACGTCATTCAGTCCCCCGGTACAAACATGAAAAGAGGAAGAAAAACTGATATTACAATTTTACTCCTATTAAAGAACTCTTCCTCTGTAACTACCTTTTGCATGGTCTTTATCCAGCTGATTGGCCACTTTCTTCCACTCTTCCATCTGTTCTTGAAGTGGGTTTATCAGACAGTCAATTAAAGCACTAATTTTGTAGGAAAAACACAAAGAGCAATCAAATCCTGCAGATGCCCCTATTCTTACAGAGAGAGCCAAGGTCAATATTGGAGTATTTTTACTTTTTGCTGTGACAGCTACCAGTGTCACAATGTAAATACCAGAACATAAAAATGTTTACACTGGAGAAAGCAAAAGAAAGAACTGGATCAAAAAAAAAGTAAAAATCCACATCACAAAATAACCAGAATTACTGCGCAGAAGTTCAGGACAGTGAGGAACAGAGAGTAAAGCAGAGGAGTGACCCAAACAGGTCAATGTAAACAGTTAGATCCTACTGAGCTGTCACACAGTTTAAATGGATATTCTGGAGACCAGAAAGGTTCACGCAGCCATGAAGATTATAAACTTAAATAACACATGTAAATACACAAGAAGACAGAGCAGTTGTACAAGAGAACAACATCCTGGCCAGTGATGGGCCTCACCTTGCATCAGTGGAGCCCATGATACAGCACCAGTAATGCTGCACTAATGAATGAGACTGGGATCAAATCATTTAAACAGCTAACTCTTGGGTAACTGGAGACTAAAGTTGTCTCTTCACAGCCAATTTCTTAACTATCTTTATTTTAAAATAATCACAGAAAAATCATAGAATGGTTTGGGTTGGAAGGGACCTTAAAGGTCATCTAGTTCCAGTCCCCCTGCCACGGGCAAGGACACCTTCCACTAGACCAGGTTGCTCAGGGCCCTACCCAACCTGGCCTTGAACACTTCCAAAGATGGTGGAAAAAGGGAAAAAACATACCAGGTCATCAGCAAATGGTGAAACATCATTTGTTTTCACCTCAGGTCAAGTATAACTTTCTAGTTTGGTTAAAAAAGGTACATGTGTGCAAACTACAACTTGTACAAATTGGTTTTGTAAAGCCCAGTTTTCATATGAGCTAATCCTCTCTCATTACCTCTACAGTCTGACCTCAACTGCAAAAAGGGGATGAGAGAATTTGCCTTTTCTGCACTCATTTGCTGAAAGTTTTTGTCTTGGCCACAAGCTGTTTGGGCTCTCCAGTAAGCTGAGGAAGCAGCACAACATGGTGCTGCTGCTTTAAAACTTAGTAACAAAGCTTAAAGTCCTGAAACCAAGACAGGTCAGTTGGTCATATCAGCAGTAGCCTGCTCAGCACTGAGCAACAGGAGCTGACAGTGGGAATTTGCAGCATTTAGAGGTGATTTGAGGTGACTAGCCCAGCCCCCAGAATGTGCAGTGAAATCCTGCATGTTCACAGCACCTAACGTGCTGTGGGACAGAGAAAAATTGCTGTTCTCAGTGACACTGGCAGAGATCAGCTGAGAAGCCAATGCTGGTGGACAGCTTTAGCACCAGAAAGATGAACCTCCAGTGCCAGGACAGGTAGGGAGCCCCTCACCTTGAGAACTGCCGGAGTTTCGACTCTATACTTCTGTGCCTCATACACATCCTGGTGAGAGCAGACCCAATCTCTCTGGTACCACCTGAAAAACACAAAACAGAAGGCAGGTGAGACCCCTGATGAGATTCCTGCCTGTGGTGTAGAGGCATAAGAACCAGGAGGCAGGCGCCAAGTCTTCCAGAGCAACTGTAAAACTGATTAATAGTAAATGTAGAATCAACCAGGCTAATAATGGGGCAGACCTCGAGGGTATCTGCCACCTCGGGAAGAGATTAATTCCTGTTTACCTAGAGACCAGAACTGAACAATCAAACATGATTATTCTCAGCAGCTTTCTGCGCTATGAGGTCCAACTCTGCGGTAGAAGAGTTAAAAGCACCTGAAGATGTCAAAAGCCAAGAAGCAAAGCCGGCACAAGGGAGTGGGCATCTATGGATAGCTTATTTACACATTTTGGAAATAAACCTAGGGGATTCCATCCGATTTTCCCATCCCTTTAGATCCAGTGCCTCCAAGGGATTCTGCTCCTCCGGGATAAGTGCCCGATCCCACACGCCGCAGGCCCCGGCATGGCCAGGAGGTGGCGCCGTTCGCTGCAACCCCTCAGGCATCCCTCAGGTGGGACAACCAGCGGTTCTCCAAGGGCTCCTCCTCCTCCTCCTCCTCCTCCCCCCAAGTTCTGCCTTCCGAAAACACACATTCCTTGATTCCCCACTTCGATCAGCATTACCAGCTCTTATCAACCCATTTCGATATAACTTTGTTTTGGTTAGTTGCTAGTTTTGGTAGTTCCACAGTTCCCACTTGCAAATCAAATCACTGTTTTTCAGGGTAAAAAGCATCAACCTCTGTACAAAAGGTTTCCAAACTGCAGTGCTTTCTGCAACAGTGAATGTATCAGCAACTATTTAAAAGACCTATTTGATTATCAGAATAACTTTAGACTTGTATCACAGAGTAAAATCTTCCTTAGGCTTTAAAAATGGCATTGCCCAAGTGAAAAACAACAACAAAAAAAGTCTTCCTAAGAAACTTGAAAATTTTTGATAATTTCGGTTTTTTAAACGTGAAAAAAGTCACCATTTTCCTGCATTCTTGCAGAATTAAATCCTGTGCCCACAAAATGGTTGTGGAACAAAGAGACTAAATAACTGGAACAAACTGTGGCTATTTGGCATTTTCCATTGTTCAAAAAGATAAACAGAAAGTCCTTTGTCACTTGCCCAATTGCTCATGTTTTTATAAGGAGCTATTGAAATAATATTATTTAGTAACACTGAAGAGCTGTAGCCTCTCTGCATATGAGTGGTTGGGAAAAGCATACGGACTCCAGCTCTGGAAGAGATGGATCCAAACCCATCTCTTCCGGTGATGCTGCACTTGCACACACTGTGACAGACTCGGGTAAATTGAAAAGCAATACAGAAGATGGGGGAGGTGTAAGAGAGAGAAAACAACTGGAGAAAGGACAATATCCACAACAAAACATCTCTATCCCAAAATAGGCATTCTTCTCTGGAGTCACTGCCAAATAAAAATAATTTTATTTCAGAGCCCAATGTGGCACAACTCCAATGACAGAGAAGGAGAAATGAACCAAAAACTTCCATTGCCATTAGCAGAGTAATTCTGAATTGAGTTTATGCAGAAGGTAGGTTTTTCAGGTTAAAAACTCACTGACATACTGGAATATTAAATACTGTCAGTGATTAAGTGACAGTGCTTTCCTTAGTCTGTTATACGAAAAAGGAAGGGTCATATCAGAGCAATGATAAGGGAATAAGGCACCATGTGTTTTGGAGACTAGGAAGCAAGGGTCAGTTACTGTTAATATTAAATTGCAAGATAACAGAATTTTATCTGAAACACCAACAATCGAAGTATAAATATATCCCCCCAACATATAGTACAGACGGATGGACAAGGTCAGCCAAACAGCAATACAAAGTTTGGTCTATACACTGGTAGTTGTGCTGGTTTAAAAAACAACAGAAAGAAACCAACAACAAAAAAAACCAAAACAAAACAAAAACCCCAAACCACAACAAAAATAAATAAATCTTGGAATGAAAAGGTTATTACATTGGAGAAAAAAAAACCAAACCAAACTTGTTGGGAATGAGAGGGCTACTGGTTTTTCCCACCTATTGAAACTTCATGTTAACCGTGAAGTATTTACAAGAATATGGTCTTAATTTTATTCTGTGAATAAAGATTGTTCTAACAAAGTGGAAGTAAATGGGAAAAAATGGTTTGGATAAATTTTTAATGATGTCCCTTCTGGAAACAGGGTGTTCCAGAAGATGGGTTCAGGATTCTGCTTGGGAAAGACAATGAGGGATGCTGCTGGAAAGTTTGGGAGGGCTGATCCAGCACCTCAGCTTGGTGAGGATGGACTCAGGGAGGGCTGCGGGGAGTGGGTCAGGCCTGGCAGAGGTTACTGGACTAAAGGAAAGACAGTACCAGCCTGTCTTGTCCCACACCTGAATCCCCACTGCTCCTCCTAAATGTATTAACTACTCCAACAGCACTGGAGTTCAACCTTCCTGATCCCAACTATAGTAACTGTTAAGAATACAAATGCTTCATGAAAAAGCAAAAAAAAGTTAAATACAGGCCTCTCAACACCCTTTGATTTACTGAGCTGGAGCACTGTGGCCCTCACCGATGTGGTCAGCTGTTCTTCCAGGAACACCTGTAGTGCAAAGGATTTATCTCAACTTTCAGAAGGAGGTTTCAGCAAAGGCTGGTTCCCACCAGCAGAACTGCACTGATGCTCCTGTTTCTGAAGGACTGGGATCAGCTGGCTATACAAACTGTCGGAAGGGAACCTGTTTGTACCACTGCAGTGGTTTGAAAATATCCAAACATAACAAGGGACGGTAGCTCGGATTTGTTTCTTTCACCCACTCTCAGCTGCAGTGAACAAGAGAAACATATGTTTTACATAAATTACAGCAGCAGCAGGTGGCCAAAGTGTGTATTCTGCTCACAGAGATGGACCTCACAAGCAGCATTAATGTGTGTGGAAGTCCTGGTACTGGCTACGCACCCTGAGTAGTCAAAATCTAGGAAGGAGTTTATTGCACTGGGCAATGCCAAGGTCATATGAAACCTGCTTCAGTCTCCAACCTAATTTATGGTTTATCTTTTCAAAAACCTGCTCCAAAAGCGACCAACTGCGTACCGACTCAAGGACAGAGCCGTGAGCTGCGCGCGCAGAAGACCAGTGGAGATAACTTCTTTTTCAGTGCCATCAACCCACAGACACAGTGGCAAGAAGAGCATCTGACAGAGAAGTCCATCAGGATTATGCTGAACACACTGCCTGTCTCCACTTCACTTACAAACAGGTCTCTGGAAGAAAGCTATGACATTCTCCAGTGTTCTCCAACTTCCTAAAAGAAATACTGAGGCCACACTAGTAAACTTTCCATCAACCCACGAGTAGGTTGGAGGGGTGACCTGGGCTCCATTCACTGCTCTGCAGCTATGCAAGTCAAATTACTGTGCCTGGGACTCTCAGTTTATGAAATGAGGCTGTAAGTTATCTGCTTCTCTGACATACTGTAATAATTCATCCATTAAGGCAAACAATGCCTGGGAACAGTGTAAAGTAATACTTCGAAACTGGAGACGAGAGCTGTATTCATCAGAATTCCCACTCAGAGAAAGTGGCTTAACAAAATGCTCCTGTCAAATTTGATTAGAAAGTGGTTGATAACATCAGCCTGATTTCTCATAAGTAAAAGGTGACTCTGCAAGGCAAAACGTGCTTTTGCTCTCACCTGCTTCTCCCTTTCCTGCCTAAGCCTGTAAAAGATCACAAACTTTTTTCATGTAAGATAATTAAACAAAAGTCTGTGGATCACTACACTACAATCAGTCCACTATAAAGGCATAAATGATTTTCTTTTGATGCTTGTTTGTCATTCAACATTGCAGAGAGACAACAGGGACAGATTGTAGGAAAGAGACTCGATTGTTTTATTGGAGTCATTATGTTTGTGTTTAATGATGATCATATATCAAGGAAATGATTATTTGATGAAATGTGCAGCTGTACAACTGTGTGGCCTCTATATATTCCAAACAAGTAGCTACAATCAACCTCTTATCTTCCTCCTCTCCCTTCACTGCTGAGCAACTCCAGCAGGCTCAGAAGATGCTGCCTTTCAGGAAGTGCCTTTTAGGCTCCAACTTGTTAACGAGTTCATCTTTGTCTTCAAGGGCATAGTCCAAATGTTTCAGCTACTTCCCTCTTTCCAAAAGGGAGAGAATGATGAAAAATGGATGTAATACGTTTGCAATTTCAAAGTTATCAGAAGAGGCTTCCATTTTTGAGTAAAGATTAAAGCAGGAGTGGAACGGAGGCTGGATTATTAAATACAACTCCGAACACGGAGGCTATGACAGAATGACTAACAGTAGGACATTTTAAGTTAATGGCCATTATTCAACCCTTATCCAAATTCATGCTGTTAGAAGAGCAAGCAGCTTCCATCACTAATTACACGTGGCATGGACCTTGATATTACAAAACATTTTATGCTTATATCTCCAGGAAATTCAAGAATGATGGGATCAGTTCCAGGGTGTTACAGAGGATAGAGGAAAAATGAGGGCTTTTGCCTAAAAGTGACTAGCACAGGGGCAAGTCACTACTGGGACACAAGTAAGCAATCACTACTGGGACAGAAACCCGGATCTGGAACTACGGGAGCACTTCATGTTTCAGGGTGTCAGTGGCCTCCAAGTAAGGCCTGTAAGTTGGAAAAACACATCAAGAACTGTAGACAATAGAAGGATGTTGTTCTGCATCTACCAGTGAGGAAAAGAGAACAGGACACCCTCAGTCCTACAGCTCCTGTGAGCCTTTATGAGCAGCACTTTATATTAAAGTTTCTGAAAGCTGCTGCTCAAAACCAGCAAAAAAACCCCTATTTATTGAGCTGCTTTTTTTTTTTTTTAATTTAATTTAGACATCCTTCAGAGAAGACTGGATCAACAAATGCAGATTCAAGGTCAAGATCACTTATGAAATTTAATAAAGAAACTCTCGCTGGCCATTGTCATATGCCG